AAATATGCCAATAAAGATGAGAAGACTTTTAGACTGTATTATGTACAGTAGTAGTATGTATATAATAAAGTATTGATTTAAGTGTATTCTATAAGACAGAACAGAACAAAAGCAAATAAAATGGAAACCAAGATTTTTTAAGCATCAAAAATGCTTCCGAAAAACTGATCTCATGAAGAACTCATCTCATGCATCCCGCTAATAATAACTGTAATCTGATTAGGTCTTTTTTTCTGTAACTGTAAATGGATTAGTTACCTTTTTTGTATCCTGACTCAGTTATATGTAATCTGTCACTCCCCAAGCCTGAATCTCGCAGGCAAGAGCTGTTCAAACTCTATTTAACTTTGTAGTTGAGATCACAAAGTCTCCAAAGATATCAAATATGTCAGACCAAACTTAAAGGAAATGAGAGAAAACCTCCTAAAGCTGTAATGATGTGTTTGAACAAGCAGATCGATGCATGGGTACCTAAAGAACCACCTGAGCACCAGGGACATGTAGGTACTGAAATATCTGCCCCACTTCTCAGTAACTTAACTTCAGCCATTACTGAATTACAGTCAGGTTTGTAGACAAACATATTCTGCAAGTAAATCATGTGACCCTCGTTGAAACTCTCTTTGTGCACAAAAACTAAATAAAAACTAAATAAAAAGTAGAAACTGTATTCACATTATGTTTAGTCATGTTCGCCGACTTCCTTCCTCACTCTGTGACGTATCCCGTGTTTCCACAGAAGCTACAGGAACTACAGGGGGTAAAGGGGATATGATGCCTTGTCACCTTGATTAAGATTACAGGTTCCTCTGGATTTGCACATAGTTGGTACACAACTCAACACAATATATAACATAGGTCTGTCAGACTTTGCATGATGTCACCAGAGCAAGATGGCGGCTGTATCCAGGATATTTTGGCTTCATCTTTGTACAGTGGAGGAAGTGGAGACATTGTCCATCTTTATCCACAGTCTATTGTGGGATGAATGAATGAGAAGCAGGACCAAGACCTTCCTCTGAATGAACACATTGTAGTTTGAGGTGTGGCTGCGTCTCTACCGGAAGAGAAAACACTGTCTTCTGTCAGTGTCTCCCACTGAAGCTTTCAGGCTTGTGTAACAAGTTTCTGAGCTTTGACCTCCTCCTCTCCGGGGGCCGCTTTATGGAGCTCTGCCTTTGAATGCTGTTCAGGTAAATCCGTATTCAGAAGCTGTAAAAAGCAGCTCCGCTTACACACAACATCAGCTTGTTTCCATATTACTGTGGAGGGCTCCATGTGAAGGCCCTTTTTCTTTGAAATACATAAAAATCTGTTATAAAATGGGAGCTTAAAATGTAAGAATATCACCTTTTAATCTGCTGGAACATTTCTTGAGATGTTATTTGTGGCATTTGAAAGTCAACATGAATCCTTATATCTCACTCTCTAAATGTCAAGCTGCATTACTGTGAGCAGAATAACTGGATCAGCTCCTCCTCTCCATTTGACAGCGACAGAGCAAAATATACAATCAGTATCCAGTCTGCCTGCTTGTGTGAAACCTCCACTGATTCCATATTTCCCTCATTAGCGTGCAGCGTGAGGTCCAAGTCCATCTGCCTCCCATTAACAGTGGCAGCCAGAGAGGCTCGACTCTCACACAGCCTCAACTTACGCAGCCCATGTGAAAGCCTCTATAAAAAGTTTCCCGTTGTTACCTTTGTGTCATGGAAAGTTGTTGTTTGGAGAAGTTCATACCAGGATGGGTTTTTTCATGTTTCCCTGAGCAAGAATGACACCTACTGGTAGAGCTGGGAACAGCAGAGGAATCAGTGTGTTCATCAGAGGGTAAAAACAGGAATTATTGGTCAGTTTTTAATTAAAAACTGTGACTATGACATGCAAAGATATTATTAGCAGTTAGACAGTGAACTGACTGAGCTTTAGTGAGCTTGAGTCACTTATATAAAACTTAAACATCTTATTTTTCTTGAAATATTGTGTTCATATACTGAATAATAATAATAATAATAATAATAATAACCCTGACTTAAAGACAACTTCTTCCCACGGGCTGTGAGACTTTTTAGAGTTAAGTTCTTCCTCAACAGTTCATCAGTTCAGACCATACAAATTAATTAAATTATTATTTATTATTATAATTATTATTTTAGCCTGAAGGGAACAATATCTTACTATGATTATATTATACAACCTTGTGTTGTAAATGACAATAAGATTACATTGAATCCTTGTAATAATAATAATAATACACTTTCTTCATATAGTACCTTTAGAACCACAGTTACAAAGTGCTTTAAAGTAAAACAAAACACATTTTAAACAAAAAGAGAATAAAATCAGCTAAAAGCCATAAAAACCGAAACTGAACAAAATACAAAACACAAAGAAGAGATTAAAGTCAGTGACATCAAATGTCTAAAAGGGCTTTTGTTGATTTAATTTATGTTTTCAAACAAGTACATTTTAGTGTATCATTAAAATATATTAAATAAAACTATTAACTATATATTTATACCATTACCTCATTCCCACAACTACCTCAAGCTCTTTTTAGTACTATAAACTACATATTATTACTGATATGACACATATACATATTTGTGTGTGTATATACAGAACTGTAGTTACTGCTACTTTTATGCATTGTGCCATATTTTATCACCAAGTTTTAGTTTTAGAGGTATTAGGTAGGAAACAACAAATATAAATAGAAACTTAGCTATATTTTGAATTTTGCAACTAAAAAGAAAAGATTTAGCAGTTTCTCTGTCGCTCAGGTGTTAATATATTGCCAGAGATCTTTATGAAAACAACCTCATGTGGACCGTTTACTTATAATGTGAGCTTTTGTGTCACTAAAGGAAGGAATTCATCTATGAGGGGTTTTCAGAGTCTGACACTGTACTTGAATTATGGGAACTGCAGTCCCCCAAAAAAGCATGTTTTTGCCCATAATTCAAAGGCTTTGGGGATGTAAACAGGAAGTACAGTGTTTCCATGGAGTCAGTTAGTTAGCTAGGGTCTTCAACTTGCAGCATTAAGAGTATGCCGAACTAGCTATTAGCACTTCCTTTGAACTCACTGACTTACATTGATGCTGACGAAAACTTAAAAACGTCATAATTCTTGGGCAAGTTCTGTCTTCTCTCTCTGGTTTTTAACAGATTTATTAGCAGGGACATCAGAGAAAATGACAACCTCTGGAAATGAAGGTCACACTGAATCTAAAGATCTTGTCGGTGTGTTCAGATTTGAGTTATGACTTGTAGAGGAAGTACAGATTTTAGAAATGGCGTTCCATTTCAACTGGGAAGTCCGAATTTCCGAGTTCCCAGTTGGAAATCTCATCTGGAACGCTCACTGGATTCGGAAAGTTGGAAAAACCTCACCAACCCCGACCTCACAGTCCAAGATGGCTGCTCTCTTTTCTAGGCTTGTCTCTATGAACCAAAACACAGTATTTTATACCTTTTTATATATATGGGTCCTTAATATTTCTATTCAATTCACAGTAAATACTCGTTAACAAGAACAAGAGTCTATAGCCATGCTAGCTCCTCTGTGAGGCTAGACAGCTGCTTTAAGCTAAATGCTTGCGTCGGCATGCTAACATGCTGATGCTAAACAGGTGCTGTATAATGTTCCCCATCTTACTTTATCATTTTAGCATTCGAACATTTGCTAGATAGCACTAAACACAAAGCACAGCTGAGGCCTAATTTTGCAGTTATTTTAAACTACAGTATTGGACAAATTAATATTTTGACCTGATGTTGGCGCGATGAAAAGTCAGAGGATCGCCAAACTTATTACAATTTATCCAGAGGGAGGCATGGATATTTGTTCTAACTTTCATGGCAATCCATTAAATAGTTGTTGAGATATTCCAGTCTGGACCAAAGTGGCAGACTGACCGACTAAAAATACTAAATATAAATTGGTTCTGGTAATTAAGGAATTTTCTGATGCTTGTAGAGCAGAATTATTAATGTCCATTAAATGACCCCTGACTGATTACCTCAAATAACACTCAATTTCACAATTTATTCACTTAATGGAGCTTTGTTTGCCTCCTAACAGCCCAAAAGCCCTTCGCACTCTCACAGGTGTTTCCATTTATTCTGATTAGACCCACTACTGAAGTATCAATGACAGTAATAAAGTTGTCCCGTCACCAAACTGAGTGTGATTAGACCTCTGCTCAGGTGGAGGCACATGTGTTTCAAAGTGAAAACACCTGTGTATGTAAATCATGGGCATGCAGGAGGTTTTTAAAGTGGTTCCAGGCTCTACATTTTATATTAAAAAATATACTATTAACTCCCTTGCTTTACATAGGTTTTGACTTGAATTAAGGAGAGATTACTGTAAATCTTGTATGAAAGATTCGTGCAATTCGTTTTTACCGATTTCCAGCTGACATCATGCTTGACTGAGTACTATGAGAATGTGTCTAAAAACACCTTACAAAGATGTAAAACTAAAATCAAACATTGTAAAAAAGTTAGGCCATAAGGTGTTTAAGTTTAACACCCTTCTGAACAAAAACTCCTGCACTTTTATGTTGTGATCCATGAATGTATATGAATGTGAATTAAAAAAGCTGCAGGATGACCAAAACTAAGAGATCTTTTAATGAAGTAAAAATGATTCAGTGCTCCATTTATGGGAGTGGGATTTGGCTTTACCTTGTGGCCTAATGCCTAAATCCAAGCGGGTATTGCTATACGACGTTGTGTCTGTGTTCAAATCCCACCGACAGCGTTTCAGAAGCAGAGCGTCTTCAGACTGCGCTGTCTGACCGATATTGTTTACCTACATCTTTAAATTTGTTGCGATGCTTCTGGCGGAATTTCGAGCATTGTCTAGAAGGGCCTTGATTAGCTTCGAGCACCGTAACAGAGCCAGAGCACGTCTCGGCTGTGTCCGGTGGGATAAGGATGCCTTGAACTGCCATTGAGACAGAATGAACCTGCACAGGAGAGATTATTACAGTTCAGTCAGGACCACTTTCGTCAAAATCTTATATTCCAAGCAGAATTACATTTGGCGGTATGGCTCTGTTCTGGGACCTCCTTGTCCTTCCGCGTGCCTACGTGGAAAACCTTAAGGCAGGGAGAGCACACCTCCTGCCCTTCCATGTGCATACATGGAAAAGTTTAAGACAAGGAGAGCGGCAGCAGAGACCCCCAGGGTACAGAACAGAGCAAGCATCAATGGCAATCAGAAAATGACATTGATTAATTAGAAATATAAAAGGAGGAGCTGGGGTGGAGGTGGGTGCAAAAGGCTTGTAGAGGAGCAGCAGAGATAGGCAGGCAGGCTAACACAGCTTAAATAAGGCGCCATGTAGATGTTAGCCAATTGGATGCTTGGGAAATCAGGTGAGCTGTCAGCTGACTGTGCATGGTATCCAATGGGAAGCTTAGAGGAATCAGCTGATGTATGTTTATGACTAGCTGTGATCGTATGATATAGCTGTAACTGAAGCTAAGCCTGACTTCGTGCCCTGCCTGAACTAACGCTATGCTCAATTTCAGTCAGGACCACTTTCGTCAAATCTTATATTCCAAGCAGAATTACATTTGGCGGTATGGCTCTGTTCTGGGACCTCCTTGTCCTTCCGCGTGCCTGCGTGGAAAACCTTAAGGCAGGAGAGCACACCTCCCTGCCCTTCCATGTGCATACATGGAAAAGTTTAAGACAAGGAGAGCGGCAGCAGAGACCCCCAAAGAACCATACCAGGCAACCTCCCTTCCATGAGCTACATGGAAGTGCCGGTAAGAGGGCCAGCAGCGCAAATTTTTGTAAGAAATAAATAACAGTAATAAAGCCAATAATTTATGCAGATACTAGTTAAGTAACTTGGCTGAGGATTAATAAAGAGATCCCTCGAAGTTATGCTAGAGTGTATTTAAATTAAACCAGCAAAAACATATTTCCCGAACAGAGGGTTATATTTGGTGGTGTGGCTCTGTATGGGACCTCCTTGTCCTTCCACGTGCCTGCGTGGAAACCTTCCATGTGCATACATGGAAAGGTTTAAGACAAGGAGAGCGGCAGCAGAGACCCCCAAAGAACCACACCAGGCAACCTCCCTTCCATGAGCTACATGGAAGTGCCAGTAAGAGGAGCCAGCAGGACTATAAACCAATACGTCTAAGCAGACACTAGTTGAAGTACAAGGCTAAGTATACTAGAGATATCCCCAGAAATATGCTATACATTAATGAATTTAAGCCGGAAATTACAAGGCACTCATTGCTTTTGAGCATCAAGATTTGCTTGGCCTCAGGCAGGAGGTATCGTTCGTAAGCAGATAATGAGCATTTACCCATAGCCTTAGCGTCGAGACAGGAGCTACGGATGCTGCATTTATGCGATTGAATGAGTTATTTTAATGTAGATTAGCTAAGCCAGATGCATATACTGAGCAGTAGATAGCCTGTATATTGCATGGTTGTGTTTACTCTAACACGGTTTGAGAAAATGGGGGGCAAGTCAGGCTGGATGGCGCTGCCTCCGGGCACAGCTGGCGAAATTCTGCGATTCAAACGGGACAAAATCAGCAATTGTTATCCAAGCCTGGAATATGAGCTGCTCTAATAATGAATTTACCCAACATAGATAACCAAGTGAGGCGTCTTACAAATCTATTAATGAATGGAACTGAGAACGCCCTTGTAAATGATGTTGGCAGTTGCCTCATTGTCGAAAAAACATGACATGTTCCCTGACCAGTCTTTTCCCACAGAAACATGAAACAATTGTACATTCATTAAAAGGTAGAAGAAGCATTAGCTGGCAAGGATGACAGGATTTAAGCCATATGTCTGTGAACCACTGATTATTAAAATACCCCCCAAAACCTACGGAAGGGTGGTTATCATACAGGTCAATCATGCCACTACTACTGTATGTTTGAATGAATTATATCTCCATTATTTCTGTACCCAACACCGAAAACTTGAGGATCCATTGCTCTTCCTAAATGCCCCTCATGTCTGCTCTCGTTTCTAAGCTCAGCAAGCTGTTCATTAGTGATCTAGTAGATCATAGCAGTCCACTATTAGACCTTGCTGTTGACATAAAGCTTCCAGGGTGAACTGGCACACAGTGTTCGATTCATTTATATGTACTCAATATGCTGCGTCTTTTATAATTAATGGCAAATGATGATTTTAGCTGCTCATTGTAAAGAAGGAGATGCCATACCATTATCACACAGAAGAGATCAGGACTGGGGCTCGGATCTGCAGCCCTTCTCCAAGCTCACCATATCATGGAGTTCTCTATAAATCGGAGAGGTCCAGAAGCCTGGATATGGGGGAACTTCCCTGGGGAATAACACATGCCAACTTAAGATGTCTAAGCAAGGAGAGCAGTTCTCTTTGAAATTACTACTGCCTGCTGCTTTCATTACCTCTCTGATGTGATTTTCATCAGTACACTATCTAGAGTGAAGCCTAGACTCTAGCCTTACAGGCCTGATGTTTCTCCTTGGCTAGCAGAAGACCTAATGTTTAAAGGTATATTTAAGAGCAAAAATGCATGGTCTGATTTTGAATTGATAGTCAACTAACAGAAAATCGTCTCGAGATGGAGCACGAAAGCAGTTGCAGTTATTTAAAAGAATCCAGCGAGAGCCTCTGACAGTGTCAAATATGTGGGGCTGCTGTAACAACCAAGGTGAGCCTAACTGAGAAGTACATTTCTCTTCATTTAAACCAAACAGATGCCAATGTGAAGGTGTAATGCATGACTTAAATGCATCTGTGACATCTGCCTTGGCTAGCCATGCGCCTCTACATGCTTCCTTAATCAACTGATGGCATTGTAGATTATAGCATAAAATAAGGAAAAAGTGCCAGAGGATGTAGCCCCTTCAGACCCGCCTTATGTTCCAAGTGTGAAAATATAATAATGACTTTTTTCCCCATCCTTTATGCAACCAGAAATGAGAATCAATAAAAATAAAAATTATTATTATTATTTTTTTTTTAATCAAAACCCTTTAATTGTTATTTTTCTTGTCCATTTCAATGGACATCGGGTCCAACAATTCTTAAAATACCAACATCATATGACAACATCATACCTATTTTTGTCTGTTAAATGTTGCAAAAGTAAAAAGAAGCCCCTGTCAAGTGACGTCCATTGTAATGGACACGGGTCTGAAGGGGTTAAACTATTTATGCCTTAGTTTTGCCTTTGCAAGAGCAGATCAATTAATATTGTTTTTTTTTTTTTTCTGAATATCCCTGGTAGCTATACCTTAATGCTTGTTGAGAAGGCGATTTATGAATGGACCAATATGAACCTTTGTTATCCTTCTTCAGTAAAGCATCGACTATCTCAGCTCTTTCAAAACAGTTGTGGTTTTTATAACCAAGTCAGCTCAGCTAAGAACCATGAACCAGCCCTATAACAGAATGCTTTCTTAGCTCCTTCCCCAGCTCAGGGACGTTTACTGGGGTTGAGGTTTATCTCTCATGCCCCCTTTTTTGAGAGGCGCACGTTCTTCCCTATGGTGATTGGGACTGCACTCCCAGCATCCTCGGCGGGAATGTGACGCCGTCAAACAAGCTGCTGTGACGTCATCGTCAAGCGCTGCACCTGTGGGACCATGCGCTCTACCTGCAGACAGCGAAGGGGAAACAATTGCGGAGGAAGACTGTCCGGCCTGACGTGCCAAACCGACCCTGGACCCTTGAACCCATGCGGAGCGACAACCGGATGTTGGACAGAGCTGACAAGCAAGACAGGTGGAGCCGGCCGCTGCGTTGGACCCGCGCTCCCTGAAAGGCAGCGCAGCGCGCGCCGGGCCGGGACCGGGCTGGAGCTGGAGCTGGGCTGGAGCCGGGACCGCAGCGGGCCGCGGGCATTCCTCCCCCTCCTGCGGACCCTCCAGAACCAGAACAGCCGGACACAACTGCGGATGTTGTTCAAGCGACACTCTCCCCAACAGCCGAGATCTCTGCTGGACTTCACAATGCAATCGCCCGCCATCATACTCCCGCAGACAGGCAAGTAGAAACAAACGACAAACCACAAATAACCACACAACATCCTTGCAAAAAATTTATAGGGGAAGAAAAAAAAAAAGGGGGAGGCAAAAAAACAAAAAAAAAAAAACATATAAATATAATAAAAATAAATTTTTTTAAAAAAAAAAAGATGTGCTCTCACCTTATTCTATATATTAAAAAAAAAAAAAAAAAAAAAAAAAATTTAATTTTTTTTTATAATTATTTTTATTTTAAATAAAAATAAAAAAAAAAAAAAAAACTCCCCCCCCCCCCCCAAAACAAAAACAAGTAGATGGAGAGAAAAGACAAACTAAACAAAAGACGCAGTTGCAGCTGAAAAAACCACCACCACAGAGATGCTAAAATCACTTTTCACACATTCTCCTGTGATTGGGGAGTAAAACTCCTCAGAGGAAGATGTGAGTTTCTGCTTTTGAGAGCAGTGTCAGAGTCTTATCCAGTATAAACAACCTTTCTGCTCCGGCCTCGGCTGCTGATTGAACCCAGATGGTGGCGGCTGCATGTTCTAATGACTCATCTCCTTCGTCCAAAAGGGCTCTCTTGAAATATGGTAGCGCCAGCACTGTAATTGTGACATTCTTGCATTGTTTGATGTCCATGAGAATGAGCGGAGTGGTCTGCAGCGCATGTGTTGAATAGAGCATACATGTGGTGCAGCTCAGCTCGCTGACAGATGATGCATTGGAGGGCCGGTGTTTGGAGTTAGGAGCTCTGTGGAGGAAATATTTTGCCTCTGCGGTCGTGTTTATATTCTGACAGGGTCTGATACACTGTCAGGGCTGAGCGATGAACCGGCGGGTCCAGCATGGTGGCTTTGATCCGTGTTCACTGTGGGATCTGCTCCGTCCAAAACAATCCAAACTCGCCTCTTTCTTGCTGAGAAAGTGAGAGTTTCACACTTTTTCTAGCTTGGCAAGCTAGACCGAGGAGATTTTTGTTTCTGACTTTAGGGCACAAATTCTATGATTCTCAGCTGTGCTAGTGACAACGTTGGTCAGTCAGACTGAAATATCTCAACAATTATTGGATGGATTGTCAATCAATTTTGTACAGGCATTCGTGGTCCAAAGCAGAAGAATCCTTATGTCTTTGGTGAATGCCTGACTTTTCCTCTAGCGCCACCAGCAGGTTCATATTTGTGGTTCTGAGTCACATATCTTGACAACTGGAAACATGATTGTCCCAGTCAAGTACCTCCGGATGAACACAAAGACAGAGAATACAACACAACCTTAACTGAAAAACACTTAAATGCCAAATTTCAAATGACACTAAATTTATGACACACCATTTTTTTGTCATCATGCAGTAACACTAGGACGGCATTGAAGTCGTACTGATTGAGTATCTTTTTGATAAGTTGCAAATTTGTTGCACAATTTAATGAGAAACATTGTCTTGTGCAGAATCTTAGTCGTTCCTTTCTGTGGCAGGAAGGCAACTACATCAATCCAACTCTTTGCCAGAGGTTTACGGGCGGTCGAATGTTTATTAAAGTAATCTGTTAATCATTTAGTCGATAAAATGTCCAAAAACAGTTCCCAGAGCTCGTGGTGATGGTCTTTGTTTTCATTAGAACGAGCTTTTGATGTAGCCTAAAACAAGTATTTTTATTTCTGCACCCTAGTGGTCAAAAATGCTGTCAAGCAGCTTTAAAACAACCTGGAAGCATTCATTTCCAAACAAGAATAAAACACAATTAATAATTCAGATATTTCCAACTTGTTCCCTTTCCCGATGCAGCTTTAAGCCCTACACTATGTTTCCACACTACTGTACCCTCTACAGATCCTGAACTGATGCACTCACACGGCTCGTGCTGACTCTGAGTAAAGGTGACCCACAGGGCGTTGTGCACCACGAGCGGAGGTCAGCTGTAAGGAGGCAGAACGTCTGAGGCCATAAAAAGCCAGAGGACAGATAAACACTGATGCTATCGATCCCACCTGCTTCTCACGTACACATGTGGGTCAAATATTCTCAGCTCCGCTCGCTGTTTCTCGCCAAAGTTCAAGCTGTCCATCATTGCTGGGTCTTTGAAGTTGTGGCGTTGCGTCGTTAATATTTATGCCTCCATCACTTTGATTGTCGCAGGGATTTATCATGCTATCATACCACTAGGCTGCATACCTGCTTTATTATGCAGAGTTATGGGAGGTGTTGAAGGGCTGTTCATGCTCCTGCTTGTGTGTCACTGCAAGTCCGATTAAAGCGACTCAGATGTCCACAGAGTAAATCTTTCATATTGATTGACTTGGCCGTTATTCTGATGAGGGCAGGACAAGCTGTGAGACTGCTACTGTCCTCCCCCACAGCTGGTCCTCCACCTGGGGGTCGGGACCTCTTCAGGGATCACAGAGAGACTTAAAGGGGGTTTACAGGATGAATTCAAGAGACATTTACAAGAAATGTGTGTCCATCTCTGAAATATAAAACTCACATTTGGCAGCAATCTGCGCTGTATTTACTTATAATGTCCTACAACTTTATCAAGTAAAGTAATAACAAAATCAGATTTTTTATAACATTTTAATCAATGCAAGGTGGCAGAAAAAAAGACAAATGTTCCCATGATTCATTATAAGAAAAGCCGTGGCCTAGACTTCAATCATTTGATAAAAATAAGAAATTGAATTTACAAAAATGCGCAGTGCATGATTTAACAACATATGAAACACATATTTAGTGGCTGTGTTCACACCCACAGTGAATAATGCTAGCTTTATGGAATTAAGTGCAGGCATCAAGATGGGTTTATTTCTCATATATTTTTATATATAAGTATATATATATAAATATAACATGTGATTTTAGAACAGCAAGTTAATGACTGGACTAAACTATTAAGCTGTTTGGAATAAAAACTTCAAATGAAAATTTGTTCCCAAACTGAAAAAGGTTTGCTTCCGATCTAAACCATGTCCAACGTGTTGATTCACAGTGGGTTTAGCACTACGAGAGACACTTTAACAGTGTACAATTCATCTAAGTTTAATGTTAAAGGTTATATATGCAAATTAAAACAATATAGCAGCAAACTATTCTCTTTATAAAGATACAGAGTCACATGGTGTCTCACTCCCTCTGCCTGTGTTGTATCGCAGCCTCTCTGTGGTTTGTTTCCATAGCCGGTCTGCTCCGACTGAAACTGCTGTTTTTATCATCTACGTAGGTGAATTAAGGATTTATTTCCACCAAACCAGAGTTGGTGATTGTTGGAAACACTAACAAAGATGGTTTGGATGAGTTTTATTTTGTTTCTGACCACTCTTAATTAAGTAATGATGATATACAAGGTAAAATTACCGTTTTTTTCGATGGAGCCTGGTGGCGAGCAATAGCAATGTTACGGCTGTTTATGGTTAAACTGAAGGTATATCTCTGTAGGGACACTGAGAACAATCTGAGTCTGTCAGTGGCAGAAACTTGTAGGGGACGCATATTTCAGTTTTCCCCCAAGGATTAGCTATTGTTACGTAGCAGCCTGTTTCTGTGAATTAAGGATTTATTTGACCAAACCAGGGTTGGTTATTGTCGGAAAGACTGTGAAATTACTAATAAATACAGTTAATGAGTTATATTTGGTTTCTGTCCATTTTGAAGTGTGTTTTATGATTATCTGCTAGATAAAATTACTCAAGTGAATTATATATAATGTTTTAACATGAAAAAAACACTTCATTTACAGGAGTTTCTCTCCTGAATCGTCGTTTTTTCTAAGGCACTAAACTTACTTTTGATTTTAATCAGACTACAGTACCAACAGCCAGGGTGTAAACCATTTACAGACATAAAAAAACATTAAAATAATGTTTCTACGATAACCAATGCATGTTAACACAAAACTCAACTAGCAATAGTTGGATCTTATTATTTACACACTGAAGATGATGAGGAGCAGAGCAGGTGTTAAACTGGTCAGCAGGAGGTTTTGGCTGCAGTGTGACGCAGTGTTGAGCTCATAGTAGATGTTTTCTGAGCACAGATTGAGGTCGTCGCCACAGAAGGAGCTGGCAGACATGTCGTTCCTCCAGTCTGAATTATACATCCTCACTGTCCTCCGTCCTGCAAGAGTGGGTGAAAGGGTTAGGGTGAGAGGTCCAAAATGAGTCTTCCTACATTTAACATTTCTGCAGGATCTTTACTTGTTTAAGGGAGTATTAATACTTTTACGTAAGTAAAAGTCCATAACTGCTGTGTTTGCTGTGATTGTGTAGCTTGTCACCTGTGTTCTGCTGGGCTACAGGTAGCTTAGCAACATAAATACACCTGTCACTACAGAAAACGAATGGTAATACTCAGGGTACTGGAACCTTTTTTGGTCCAATTCAGGCACTAATTCAGCACAACCTGAACCCTAATTTGTTTGCCGTGCTTTATTTAAGGATCCAGAGTCTACACAAGATATTTTATTTTGAAAATGTACCAGGTTCTCTACTGTTTCTGGTGGTGGCGGTAGGGGACTCGTGGACAGAAATCAGAAGTGCCCATGCTCAGTATATAGTTGAGCTGGGTCGGCGTTGATTCACAGTGGGTTTAGCACTACGATAGACCATTTAACACTACACAACTCGTTTTACTTTAATGTTAAAGGTTATATATAAGATTTAAATAATTAATATAGCAACTAATTCTCTATGTAAAGATATAGTGGAGTCATGGTGTCTCCCTCTGCCTGTGTTGTATCGAAGCCTCTCTGTGGTTTGTTTCTATAACCGGTCTGCTCCGTGTAAGAAGTAAGGTTACATGTAGACAAAAACCAGAAGTGCCGTCGTATCATACTGGCTCGATTCAGGCACTGGCGATAGTATAAAAAGTTTAAGATGTCTTACTTGGTTCGTAATAATCATAGATGACAACACTTGCTTCCTGGACCTTGGCGACCATGAACTCCATGACCAGCGGAATCATTAGACACATCTCATCTGTCGTCACCTAGAAACACATTTTACCTGTTGGTTTTCACTTCACACAGAGCAACAGCAGTCAGACAGCAGTCAGTGTGTCTATGATTCAGTGTGCTGCAGTGAAGCTTACAGAGTCCAGATACAGGATGACTTTCCCCGGCAGCGTCTCTACTTTCTTTATGACCTCATTGGTCTGGATACCGCCCGGCAGCAGGCTGTAGCCGCTCAGCAGGCCGACCTCCATAATGGCCATGCCAGTCGCATTCAGACCCAGAAACTCTGACAGACTGCAGGGGGCGACACAACAACGGGAGGGTGTTAGAAAACTGTTGTAAATACAGTGGGACACTTCACATACAGTGAAAAGAAAATACAGATGTAAAAAATATTAAACAAACAACATTTCTTAAAGGGACATTGTGTAGTGTTTTAAGTATTTTATTAGCTAAAATCAACGTCTTCATTCATAAATGTGTCCTCATTGGTGTAAAATTACCTCTGCCGATGATCTGACTTATCCTCGTAAGCGAAGACGTTCTTATCTCTATATACATTGGACGGGCAAGTCCATGGAGGCATGTCCCCGCCATTTTGAAAAACTATAATCTCCAAGAGGGACATAAAGCACTAGCCTACCTGTCTCGCTAATCCACAACGCATTCTCGTTCAGAGCCAGCGTCACGTGACTGAAACCAGCTATAACGGAGAAGGAGATCAGTGAGAGGCGCTTGTCACTGCCCCGGAATATTTGAAAGTCTGCACTGCACTTTAGTTAATAATGGAGGATCATACTTATGCCGAGCCACAGGAGAAGGAATCCTCGTCGCCAAAAAAGCCAAAAAGGGAATTAAAAAGGCAACGTGACCGGCAAATTCAAAAAACGAGGGTAAACATCGGGGTAGCTTTTCCCAGGTGGAAAGAGCTAATGAAGGAGAAAGACTTTCAAAGGGACGCTGAAGTTGCCTGCTTTCTCCTCGACAGGTAGGCTTCTTGGTACATAACAGCTACCGTAGTTGCAATATGCATTTGAAAACGCGAGGCACTAGAGAGCACTATTCGTTTGAATGCAAAATACAATTTCACCGCTAGATGCGAGAAATTCCTACACAATGTCCCTTTAAATAATAAATAATTAATTAAATTATCAGTATTATATTTACATACATACAAACTTTATTTGTATAGCATTTTTTAAAATATTTAGATATTTAATTATTTATATTTTATTTATGTACGTACAAACACATTTTAAATACTTACTTTCTTACTTTGCAAACTTTCGTATAACACATTATAACAAAACAATATGTATTTTAATAAACACAATATGCATTAGGCATTATAGCTTTATATTAAAAATATTTGTATTTTTATTTGTTTATATGTTTTTACTCATATTTTTTAATTTTATGTAGAATCCAGTTGATAATAGAATTAAAAAATTAAATTAAAAAATAAAATATATTTAACAACATTAAAAGTAACCAAAAAGAAGTTTTATTTATTTATTTATTAACCGTTATTTCTACAAATAAGTAAAAAAAAAAATATAAATACTTAATTTAGATAATACTTTTTTTTTTTTAATAAATTTGAAACTTATATACAAATATACTAGCAGATTCATTTTACAGATTAAATACATTATATTTCAAACAACTCTTTCATATCAGGATATTAATTATAATATAGCATAATAAATGTGAACAGAAATGTACAAACCACCTGTTTTGAACTCATGTTTCAGTTATGTTTCTCTGTAACGTTGCTTTCAGATTCACATCTGGTATTTTTATTGTTTATCTCCTGGACTTTACTGATTATGTTTTATTGTTTGTAAACAGGCGCAGTGAAAGTTTGACAGGCATCGTACACGTGCTGCTGATGGTTGCATTGCCGACATGGTTGCATCAGGCTGACGTGATGTGAACTAACAGGACCGACTGTCACAGAGCCAGCCCGCTCACCTGCTGCAGATGTACAGATGTGCCGAGTTTACTTCCTCGTCAAACAGCTCGACGTACAGATGAAACGCCTCGTCTTCGTCTGCGTCTCGTCTCCTCCTCATCAGCTCCTCATTCCTGACGTTGTAAAACACGTTCAGCTGAGGGAGGAGAAAGGAAGGAAAATCAACGTTGTCATGTTGACATGAGAGAGCACCAACTACACAACTGGTTTCAGACCAGGTGATTACAACATTATTCCACTTGGAGAAATCCAAGACTGATTCAGTTATAGAAATATTTATTGTTTTTACTGCATTTTACTCTTGTGGTTGTTGATTTCAGGGGATTTTAATTGTTCTTTCTCTCTTTGTAAGTCCTGGTTTCTGGAGCCTGGAGCAGTTTTATCACGTTGCATCATGTGTGACTATTGTTTGAGTTATTTGTAAAATATTCTGTCAAGAGGAATGTCTCGACTTTTACTGCAAACTAAATCAGGATGTGTGGGAACCCTCATATTGTAGCCGACAGCAGTTCCACAGGTTAGTTTGAACATTTCAGTCGAGGTACCTGAAAGAGGGCGAGTCCGCGACCTTCTGCAGTCACACTGAGTCTCAGCTCCTCCTCTGGTGCAATCTGAAATGTAACAAGATGAAACAAATTTAAGCCTCCGGATTTTTGCATTTTACCTGCAGCAGGTGAGCCGGGTCACTACCATAAACTTCATTGATATAGTACGTTTAGAGACAGCACAAGACTAGGTGAGCCCAGAAGGGAAGCTGTAAGAGGAATGTGCAGTAAGTGGCATTAACTGACAGTAAATGATATGTTGAAAGTTCACTAATGGAGTAAAACATTGCTTGACTGTGTTGGAATGACATTTCTTTAAACTTTACACCGGCTAATCCAAAAATAGGAAAATAAGTGGAATGTGGGTGGAGCAGAGGCGGGCTGTAGGAGCCCCTTACTTATGAGTAACTTTAAGTCTTAATGTCATTTAAACTGGTGAGTTGAATAAAAATTCAGCTCCTGTACAGTTGTCATGAACAGGGAAATTATTAAAGTGTTTTTTGTACCAAGCTTTCCACTGCAGAAAGGAATTTAAATAGGATAATGCAAAAAATGTCCACCTGCAGGAGATCTGAACAGATTCAGCTCCACTGCTGATCGGGATCAGCTAATTCATCACAATGTCCTTTGATATTGGGACTACAAATGTTCCACCTCTCTGTGGTTGTCAACAGTTTCTGATCATCAACAGATGCTGAATCATAACGGCGCACTCTTCCAGGTCAGCTGTCGGTTCTGCGTACCTGCTGGCTCTGGCGAAGCAGGTAGTTGTCCCGGGTGATGTCGAAGGAGGCGGCGTTGGTCGCAGCGTCGGTCTGCACTCTGATGGTGAGGGAAACGTCGTTAGACCCGGCGAGCGCTGCGAACGTGGACAAGGCCTGCAGAGCCACGACTGTGTCCTGAGAGAGCAAACAAGAGTCAGTCAGTGTATAGCTGATGCTTTGATACTCAGTGCTGACTTCCTGTTTACAGCTGCGTATGTGAGAGCTGTTCTGTGAGTGTGTGCATCTGTTCTTGGAGACAAACACAGTCATATTTGGCTGACTAAGCGTGAGAATATTATTATTCAGATTTTTTTGTTTCCTTGTCATGCATGTTTGTGCATGCGAGTGTCTTTGCGTGCTAACAAGTTAATTCCGCTTCAGTCACCACATGCCCAGACGGCCACAGCTTCCCCCGCCCCTTCCTGCTGGAGTGACACAGACGGGAATTTCTCCACTCAACCCAGGTTGACCAGTAAACAAAAGCCTTCAATATTTTAAAGGTTGATGTTTTAACAGTTTAAATGTTAAAAATACATCATATAAATCATTAAATTAATAGCATGAATGTGCGACGACTAGCCGATTATTGGCGTTATCGAACGACTACTAGTCGACGGGGAAAATCTTTAGTTGGGGTCAGTCCTACTTTGACATACCATTGTATACATACTGTTACAGAGTCTTACAGACAGGAATAATGGGTAAAGGCTTCTGCAATGGGTGCTGCAGAACCTGGCTGTCCTGGTTCGAATACTTTTCAGTCTTTTAAAAGAAGGGAGGAAGTGAAAAGATGGTTGAGGGTGTTTTCCATAGTCTAATGGTTTAGATTTCAGCAAGAGATGGTAGCTCCGTATCCTTCCTTAAGCTTTAAACGGATAGCTTTATTGTGTAACATATAGAAGGGAGACTTTTGTCACATAATCCCTCTGTAGGTCTATGAGAAATGTACCTATTATTGAAGTTTTCTGAGAATATATTGATTTATTTCTGTTTTTGAATGCAAGTATCTGACCTGAGTACTTCCGAATCCTCCTTTGTGGTTCCGCTGTTGGCTGAGCCACTTCATGAGGCTGAGGCCATCGGTGAAGAGACCCAGTCTGTGCTGAGAGAGCAGAAGGTAGGACGCCATCTCGATGTCTGCGGAGCGAGGCTGCCACGACGACGACACGCCACCGTCTGGGGAGGACCATATCGGCACTCCATCTACTCACAGAGGAGAGTCAGAGGAGATACGGGAATCATTGAAGAAATATGATTATCTGGTTTATTATAAATCACGGTTGAGTTGTACCTGTACCTTTAATCTCAGCTCGTCCAATCAGCTCACTGAGCGCCATGTTAGCGCTGGAGCTGTTGGCCAGAGCCAGAGCGTAGGTGAGCAGGCTCAGGCTGTAGTTACTGGAGACGCCCAGAGCCAGGCGGGTCTCCAGGAACATCAGGGACGCAGACACCTGGCTCCCATACTGAGCCTGTCAGACAGGGAACAGGGCAGCAGCACGTAAGAGGTCACTTCAGCTCAATGGCATTTATGAGATCAGATCATAAAGACGCAGCGAGGATGAGGCAACCTCTTTGTTTAATCCCATCTGTTTGTCCAGCTTTCACTCCTTGTGTTTTTACAGAGCGCTCATTAAGATCAAACTTTATTGATCCCTGTGGGGAAAACAGATATCTACCAAATTAAGAGCCAAAATCAGTCCTTGCATGTGGTTGGAGAGTGTAAAAGTAATTTGTCTTCTGTCACTCCTCATGCAAAACCCATCTGGCCCCAGTGTCTCCTCTGAGATAGTAACTGTGACCAGGATACATACACAGCAGGACATTTAACAATAAAAATCAACTTGTTAGTGCACTCTGGTGGACAAACTCTGAAATACAGACACTGTAAAAAAAAATAAATATATATATATATATTAATAAAATGACAAAAATGGCCTGAATCTACATGTCCTAATGTAAAATAACTTGAAATATCTGTACCTATAAATAATCATAGTGGAAATAGATTTGCAAATCTATCATTTTTTGCAGATATTTACTGTTTATTTAATAGATTTAAGTTTTAAAGTTTAACTTTAAGTTTGACCATTTTTCCTCTGAAGGCGGCGCTATTGTGCAGAATGATCAGTGTGTTTAAAGGTGAAATTTTCCTTTCATTCATACGCTTAAAGTGACCGTTTTCTCTCTCATTCATGGTTTTATGGTTTTAGTTTCCTTGTGTGCATTAGTCACAAATGGTTATCAGCTATTATCAAAAGCACTCCCTTGTCTGACATGTGTGATATTAATAAAGTTAGATTGATTTATCGACTCCCACCTTGATGTCGTTGTCTTCCAGCAGGGCGATGAGGACGTAAGCTGTGAGGGAGACGGGCCCGTCCAGGCCTCCTTGGAGCTCGGTGTGAATGACCCGGCCGGGCTCCTCAAATCTCCCATCAGCCCCCTGCTGGGCTCCTAACCAGGCCGCCACCATGCTCAGCACGTGGGCGTCGATGCTGATGTACGGCCGCGCCTGCAGGAAACACCTCAGCACGAAAGCAGAGAGCCTGCAGAGGTGGAGTTCATTTTACCACTTTTATCATGTTCCTGAGGTTTCTTTCCACATTACAAGCTGCTACATGACGTACCAGGTGCTTCCAGAGGAGTCCTGGTCCCCGAAGGCACTGAAGGAGCCGTCCAGTCTCTGGTAGGACAGCTCTCGCTCATAACCTGATGAGAAAGTCACCAGAGATTAAAAATAGCCCCAAAAATAAATCCAATCCTAAATAAGATTATTTAACTCTGTAGAAGTAAAGCAGTAAAGCAAGTTGTGTAATAGAATAAAGCATCTTACATTTAAGTAGAAATACACACATTTCAGAAGAGTGTTACACCACGGACCACCAATTTGAGAGGATTTTGTGTTCAGGAGTATTCTTTATTTGATTTTTAGGTTTGAAGAGTCTTTATAGTCAATCAACGATCAAAGAAGACTCACTATAAACTACAATCAATAAAAATGGCTAATCCAGTGTGTTGCCTTGTTGTTCCAACTTCCAGAAAATACAACCCACTCAAGGACCCCGGTTTGAAGCAGATCCTTAACCGACTCATGGAGTTAATGCTAGCTAGCTAACTAACTAACTAAATCCACGACTGACGGTTGCAATTACAACTTACTTTTGGCAACCTCTGTCTGAAATCATGAACTCATTGACTCAAAATTGACCACAAATGTTGATGGTAAGTAGTGCCAGTGATCTCCTCAGAGCTGGTTCTGAGTTAGAAATATGTTATTGTGCCATAATCCACGTCCTTGTTTTACCCTTCATCATGTAGGCTGTGGCTGTGTCTGTTGTGTCCTGGTTAGCCTGCCCCGTAGCGCTCAGATACTGGAGGACGTAGACGTTTGGTGCGAAGTTGATCATGTTCTGTTCACCACAACCGTAAGGCATCTGGATGAGAGAGTCCAGGCCGCTGATGGACGGACCCAGGATGTCACCTTTATCACCATGAAAACCAGACAAATTATACATGATGAGTAAGATCAGGGAGAGGAGTCCAACCTAAGACCTCATTTTCCATATCCTGCTTTTACAGTTCGTCAAATCAAATATCACCAAATGTCTTCTGTAGTCTTTATTTATCTTATAAGTTAACTTACGTATGTTATGTAAACCAAATTGGACCAGTGTGTAGGATTTAGTGGCATTTAGCGATGAAGTTGCAGATTGCAACTAACTGAACACTACTCACGTCTGTATTTAATGACCTAGGAATGAGAATGGGCTGTGAAGTGAGCAGGAGAAACTACTGTGGCTGCAAAACCTTATGGAAAAAGTGAGTGTCCCGTCTAGGGCCAGTGCTTGGTTTGTTCTGGGCTACTGTAGAAACATGGCGGACTAGAAGGTGACCAGCCTAAATGTGAGACACTGAACCTTTAAGTTACGTCAGATACGTAACGTTACGTAACTTACAATCTCTTACAACACAAGGAAGTGGTATTTGTGGCTAAACCTAACCAAACTGCGACACATTAATCACGCAAGCTTTATTTTGAAAGTCTAATTACAGGGACATCTTTACCGTCATATTTTGAAGCAATATTTGACGAGTCATGATAATCTCATTAGAAAAGTCCTCTCTGTGTTTGTCGTGGCATTTGGGAGGCTTAACAAAAGTCTCATCTTGAATGAGTGTGAGACTACGGTGCGGCTCTACAGCAGTAGATTTTCTGGTTTGGTAAGTTTAATGCTTGAAATCTGGTGCCATGTAGCTTTTCCTCTATATGTTTACATCAGTATGTTCACCAGGTAGCTGATGTCATCTTTGAAATGTCACCTGCAAACTGTGTGTGTGAAGTGATGTTTCCACTCATCACATGACGAATCACAACCAGCTGCTTCCTCACAAGTTTCACTAAACCGACACTTAACCTTTAACATCTCTACAATGCTGGTTCTCACTGTTGTTATAAATATCTTCTATGGGCAACACCTGGAGTGGACAGGAAAGTATGATCTCAGTGTGTTGCTGCTTGTGTGTTTAAGTGTGTTTCATGTTGAACGTCTGCACTTTGTTACATGGAAAGGCAACAGTTTAACTTCCTACACAGTTTGCTGTTTGAACATATGTGTTCAAGGGACTCCAAAACATAAAGAAACTACCTCTGGTTATTTTAATCCATGTTGTCTAGAACACTCAAGTCCAATGTTTGAAACATGGAGTCCATATGTGAGACACACTGCGGGTTTGTGTTGCAATTTTGTTATGAAACAAAACCACATCAGGACAGTAAATTAAATCTATCTCTCGATCAATTTGGCAGAAAAACTGCAGAAACAAATGGAGAGTAACTGAGAGAAACTGGGAAACAATTGTCCTCCAAGTAAACTTAGCTTGCCTGCACACTAACATTATCACTAGCAAAATACTATCTCAAGTGTTAGTTGCCTAACGTTACATTGCCAAATTACTTCATCAGCTAATGAGAAACTACGGTGGCTGCGAAACTCATGAAACAAAACAAAAGGCCCTGTTTTAGAGGCAGTGCTTGGTTTGTCCATTGTGGGCTACTGTAGAAACATGGCGGTTCAACATGACGGGCTCTATGGATGGCTACACGCGATTATTCTTATTTCAAAATGATTAAACACGAATGAAAACATATATTCATAATTATTTTTTTACATTCTGTTTTATCTCTCTCTGTTTGATTCTTGAAGGTTCTATTTAATTTCATTTTATGGGTTATTTTGGGTATAATATGCTATCTTTGCACATATTATATTGTATGTTTGTATTTTGTGAAGCACCTTGCAACTCTTAATAATATAAAGTGAATTATTATTATTATATTATAATAATCAGGCCAAAATCTAAATTAAAGTCATTGTATGTGCACGATTTAAATGTTTGATATATTTAATTGAGATTAAAAAATGGGGCATGTACCAGACCACGGATGAGTAGTTAAATAAAACCATTGGGAAGACAAGCTGAACACTGATTATGTGTTCTGTTTATTGAAAACACAGTTAACCTATTATGAATCAACGGTGTTCTGTTCTGTTGTTTCACAGGAATCAACCTCAGACTAGGTGATCCTGTTTTGTTTGACAGCAGGTTAAGACTCAAGTTTTTTTTGTTCGGTGCATTTACATACCGACAGCCGTCACCGAAACCCTCTCGCTGCCCTCCACAACATCTGCCGGGAAGGTGAACATCACGTCTCTGGAAAGGCTCGACCACGAGGGAGAAACCTCAAACAGCAGTGAGGCGGAGAACGACTGCTCGAGTCCTTCGGCCTGCAGAAATATGGAAACACACAACACACAAACAAACCTACTGGGTAATGATTCTGGGAAAGGCAGAGATGTAAAACAAGATCAACACTTCTTTGGATAGAAGATGAAGGTCGGCTACATTAGAAGAGTTTCCTGTTTGAGACACTGTGTTTGTTTTGGAGCTGCAGCAGGTTGACAGATGCTCCAATAAACACAATCTGACAGGTTCAACTCTCACTGATGTTTTGTTAAGCAAGATGCTGAACGTCTGACTCCTCTTAAACTTTTAGTCAGAAATCTCTGATCAGCACCACCCCCACAATATGATTAATATCTTGGGAAAAACAAAACAAACAAAATTTTATAACTTAAAAAAAAAATCTTTTCAGAGGGAGACCAGTTCTTCCAATAGTGCCTAAAATGTGGAATCAGGCATCAGCTTGTACACACCTGTGCACCGTTCCTATATCATTTCATTCAACAATAATAATTTATTAGCCCCGAAACGGGGCCCTTCAACTTCTCAGCAGTGCTTTGTTTGCATTTTCTTCCCTGTATATCCGTATATAAGTTTTAGTTGTTTAGTTGGCTAATCGTTCTTTTACTTGATCAAAAATATTACTCTGAAGCTCAATTCTGTAAACTGTTTTCTAATATAGAAACTTCTGATCAACCCATATCAATTTCAGGCTTAAATTAACAAGTTAGATTTAACTAGAGTTAAGGTTTAAGTCCCGCCCATTATAAGTAAGCATACAAATACCGATAATTTAGTTGGTTGAACAGATACAGATAATTGTGTACTCGCTCATCCCTAGCTTAAATAAACACTTACTATAATATTATAGTGTGTTAGAAATCATTTATGTGTCATCATTTGGTAGCTATCATATCTTTTGTGTGCTATTTACTGTTATACCACCAAAGTCCATAAAAGTTAAATATTTCTGTTAAGTTTTGTCCTTGTTCTTACCTGTATGTTTATTTCTGTGCAATACAAGTTCTAACCCTAACCCTATTATCCCTAACACTGACTCGGGTGTTACTAAATTCCTCTCATTTGTCTAGTCTTCCATTGCAACCTCATTATCTAGACCTCCCCAGTCCGGATTTTCTCACAGCACCTTGACGAGCACCATCCTGAGGATGAGGTCGGACGCCGCAGACGACATGGCTTTCACAGAGATGGGGATCTCTCCGAGGACCACCGGCCTGATGGGAAAGAGGATGGACACTCCACTTTGACTCCCCACAGACACACGTCGAACACTGGGCATGGGGATCTCGTCATTGTCCGGGTAGACAAACTCGTAGGTGTCACTTTGTGCAACAACAACCATGACCTAACAAAGACAGAAAGAATCCACCCAGATCACATTAAACAGAGGTCAGACAATACAAAGAGTGTGGGAGGAAACACAAGGATATTGTTGTAACTGCAAGAACAATGGCTCTCTAAGGGTTCAATGAGCTATTTTATGCAGCTTTTATGTGTTGAGTGATTTTAAGATAAGAGAACCATGTTGGGGGGAGTTGTATGAGATGTTAAAACCACTGATGACACATTAGATTTTAGCAACCTGATGCCTAAAACACCCCACTGACCCTGCGAACCACATTCAGCACTTGTAATCCAACACCTGCTGTATTCTACTGTTGGTACACAGTGACATGTATCCCACTGTCAGCCTGATTTGTCTGAATAGGTCAACATTTACATCAACATTATTTGTTCCTGTGACGTACATCATGATTTTCAAGACACTGGAGTTGAAGCTGTCGTTCAACAGTTTGTGTATTTTATACTAAATTCAGTCAGTTTTATTTGTAAAGCCCATTATCACAAATCAATGAGCTTCACAATCTCTACGGTGTACGTCATCTTCTGCCCTCGATTCAGATCAGGAAAAATTCCCCCAAAACCCCTTTAAGGGACCAGTGTGTAGGGATTAGTGCCATCTAGTCGCAGATTGCAACCAATTACACTCCCAAGTGCTTAAGGAAAAGTTTTATGGACTTTTTTCCGGCGTGATGACTCGTCAATATAGAGGTGGTTGGCAAAGTGGTCCTGGAAGCAAAAGTTCTGTTCAATTTCTAGGAGGCCAACAGCTGGAGCACTTGGAGACTTGGTTCATCACTACAGGAAATTAGTAACTTCATGAAAACTGAAAATGTTATGATGCCCATTTATCAGTAACTGCTGGCCCAGGGGCAAATCCAAAATTTGCCTCAATGGGCTTCATAATCTGTACAGTATACGTAATCTTCTGTCCTTACACCCCCAATTCAGATCAGGAAAAACTCTGCAAACAGTGTATAGGATTTAATGCCATCTAGCGGTGAAGTTGCAGATTGCAACTGACAGTCAGAGACTTGGTTGGACTTCAGTGATCACTACAGAAGATGAGTAATTGTATTAGAAAAAAGTTTATACGAGTTCCTACATAACAATTGAAGGACAGAAGTCAGCTACGGCTCCCAGCCCCCCCCGATATAATAATAATATTATAACCCGCGCTACAAGATTTTCATTTTTTAAATGATTTTTTCTAGTTGTTTCATATCATATGCAATTAAAATGAAAACACAATTCTATCTATAAAAGAATCTATAAAAAATTTGAGGAGAGGCAGACTGACCTCCAGGCCCTGTGTGAGGTAGTTGAACAGAACGACTTCCAGCAGCAGCTCCTCTCCTCGGATGACGTAGGCCGGCAGATTCACGGACAGGAAGAAATCCTGGAACACTGTGAGCTGCAGGAAGATCACATGGAAACTTTATACTGTCTCATCAGGTCACCAATACAAAACAGAAAAGAAAATAAGTCTAGGGAGGTTCCTCAAGGTGTTTTTAGTATTATTTAGTCTTTTTTCCAGGGAGGCATCGAAGGATTGTAGATACCTCTGCAGGACTCTCTATGATGCCCAGGCCCAGGTTCTCAGATATTACAAAGGCGGTGGCTGTCCAGGTTGTGATGCTGTCTGGGACAGTCAGAGTTATGTCTGCCGAGTTTGAATTCCTGCGGTAAAAAAAAAAAAAATGAAATAATGCACTGTATTTACTTTATATGAAATGAAATGTCAGTTGCTTGTGAGTTGCAGTGTACTCCAAATTAAATATGGTGACCGGGAAGAAGAGAACAAAAGTATTGTATTCTGAAAGTTATATCAGAATCAGAAACACTTTATTTACATTATATATACATTACTATCTTTTCTTTTGGATAGACATGTTTTAATCAGCGCTAGGAAATAAAGTTTTAGTTATTCTACAATGTTTCTGAAGCTTCACCCTGTGTTGGTATCCATCCATATCCAGGTCTCTGGAAAATTCCAGCGCTCTCGTGGCTCCTGTTCTTGCTCCACATGGGGACTGTCTATATCGTTGAAGAGAATTATTCCCTCCCCTGCTGTTTTAAAGATGAGTGTCAGTTATATTAGCATTAAAAGAAACGTGAAAGGCAAACTTTTGATCAAGGTTGATTTTTTTTAAAAACTTACGAAATACGGGATTCAATGGCTGTTCCATCATGTGTAAACTGGCATCTGTCAACACCACAAGATCACAGGTCTGCACAAAGAAACACATTAAAATACACATTTGGATGGAAAGCTGATGAAGGATTAGTGACACAATGATTGGAAGACTTCTATAGTTCTCAAATACGTATTTAGAATTTGGTCGTCACCAGGGTCATTTTGGAGCTTTTCTCCTCTCTTAGAAGGTCGGTGGGCCTCCTTTTCATTCTTTGAAAATTCTTGTTGGCTCATGCAATTAGAAGTTTACAAGTTCTGGGTTACGAAGTTCTTTAGACTTATCAGTGGTAGGAGACTCATACCACACATTTCCCCTCCCATCATCACCATGCTCATAGTATATTTTATGCATATATTCTGTTATGGCCTTTATTATATGCAGTCACCTATAGTTTTATGCCATAGAAGGGGCCTTTAAATTTTGTTTAAACTCTGTGTCCTTTTGCACAACAGCGTTGCATAACATCTGCATGTACTGGCCAAAGAACACTGTGACATCTGAGTACGCGGGTCAAAAAAACTGTGACTGTCAGAAACAAGTTAATGTGTTCTGTTATGTTCAAGAAAACTGGAGATATCACGCCATTGTCAGGACAGAGGATTAATGATTGATGACGTATTAGAACATATAGTAGAACAGCTCTTTTTGTCAGTCCTGTTTTTTCTACAGAATTAACTCAGCTTTTATTACATTTAATAAAAGTCTTTTTGCTGGAAGATCTTGTGTCTGCTGTGATTTCCTCTGCCACCACATCATTCAATAAGTTCCATCATTGAATTTCAAGAATCCATCTTGCCAGGCTTCAAGCTATGTGCTTGTTTCCAAACCACCGTTGTGCAGATGAATTAGCGTCCTCTGAGGAACTGGTTTAACACTAGGTGTGACACAGCTGTCAAAGTAGCAATGGTGGCTCCTGAAGGGCTTAGCTAGCATCAGTTATATCAGAGCTGGAGAGTGTTTCTTTATTGAAAGAAGAGCAAAGAACAGCACTGAATGCTTCTCTCTTCTCCTGACTGGCTTCTGGTTCATTGATCTGATTAGTTGAAGGTTTCTACGTTGGTAGATACAATACCAATACATTGTAGATATATCCATTGAATCACTATAATGTGTCTTGGTTAGGGTCGTCTGGCCCAAACAGGGTTTTTATTGTCAGATGTAAAATGTGCTAATACGATACCCGAATATACCAGAACAATACTCTTTTCAGTATTTCAGTTAGTAAAATACCTTTTATACTTTTATATATATTTACTTTAAATATGCCAAACAATTAAAACATTAGTGTTTAATGTCTAAATACAAGCCTAAACAAAATACTTTAAAGAATATGTAAACCATACTGACCAGGTAACTTTTGACACTGAACAGTTTTAAATCTCAACAACGAAAAGCATCAAGAGTTACCCATCCCAGTCATAACTACTGCTGAGTTATAAAGTAGTGAATTAGTACTACTACTCACTGCTTAAATATTTAAATAGTAGTACTAGTAGCACATGATTGTTTCTTTTTTGTCGTTGAAGAACATGTACACTTCTAGTTTTCTACCAAGAATCAGAGTTGGTTTCTTTTAATTGTGACCATCTTTCACTGAACGTGTGCCTGTATGTTGTATATAACATTAACCATCATGGTGTTAGATCAGAAAGCAGTTTTAATTTTGGTATGGTATATTTGTCATTGTTTTGGAAGGTGCTGACAAATCAATGTCCTTATATGTATTTTGTTGTTTGATTTAGAAGACTTGTTTGCCATCATAGTTTCTTAATCATGTCTACAAAGAGATAACAAATGTTTTTATTTGTATCAGTGATAATGTATGGCGGAGAACGTATACAAGAGTAATTACAAGTAAATATAATCAAGAACAGAAACAAAGCAAAAGCAGGGAAGAAGTTTTAAATGCTCGACTTTAAGCGCGGAATCCTGATCGAGCATTGGAGACTGTCCTTCCTTAGTAAACAGGAGTCAACACAATACTCTAGTGATAGAACAAACGTGATGTGTCTCTGGGGACGCTAACCTTGAAGATGGAGTACGGATCTCCCTTTCTCAACATGTCAGACATGTAGGCGTCGGCCATGGAAACGCCGTACTCCTCCATCTCCTTCAGCACCTGTGAAAGCAAAACCAACATCCTCAGAGCCGCTACTGTTGCAGCTCACAAAGACCAACAAAACAGACCATAACACAAAAAGAACACTTATTGTTTAAAACCTGTTTGACCAAGCTGAGATAAGACAGTTCATGGTGCCTCAGTTCACGCTGAACTGATACTGGGGTGGGGGGCTGCAGATTGGGTTTCACAGTACCTGCAGGAGATGTTATACCCGGAGTAATATGGGTGTAAGGGTGGTGGACATATAGCCAGACAACTGTTTCTGTTGAAAAATATTAAATCGGACACGACCCTGGGGAGCTTCTGGTATTCAACGTGTACAGGATGATCCGTTGTAAATGACAAAGCAAGTTATATGACAAACAACTGTCTTTACAAAACAGGAAACCAGTGACTCAAGGCTTTAAGATTTCAGGGGTCAGCCTGAAGTCACAGCGAGCTGCTTCACTTGCAGGGTTTAGTAAGAACAAACAAATAATACACTCAGTTAACAAGTTATGTCTGAATCCCGTAATAGCAAATAGCTAGCTCAGGATTAAAAGGGTCAGTTCACACAATAGCATAAAAGACTAAACTGTGTCACTTGCTTTTAGTGATATCTATCCATGCAGACAAAGGCACCTGAACAATGGAGCAGGCAGAGGAGCTGCAGCCCCTTTATTTATTAAAAATGATGTGATGTTTGATGGTGTTATGAATGACTCGGATGAAACTCCAAAATGTTACTCACAGCTGAAAGTAAAGAACACAATGAAAAACAAATATTTCAATATATAACAGTGCAATAGGCTTTAAACTGAGCTCTATTGCAGGAAATGGCACTTTCAGGTGTGAAAATGTTCCTATCACACTTCTGCCTGTCGTTAATCTTAGACTCCAGGAGCCTATGCATGAAGTTAGTTTTGGTGTATATGTGCAGGTTTTCACATATCTTTTTTGTGGTGCTCACATTGAAAAACTAAGAGTCCACAGCCTGCTAGGAGCTCTGTGAGGCTGTATTTCATTTAGCGTGCATGTTGATGTATTTTGGACCCAGAACAACACAGTAAAGCTCGGGATGTGAGTTTTTTCTAACCATCTCCTTGGTGATGTCATTGTGTGATCCCGCCCACTGCGTCGCCTTGTCGACCACCAGGATCCCGACCAGAGAGGCGGGCTCTGCCACTGCGACCTTCAGTGTGACCTTGTCAGCTGGCCTCCTCTTAGTGTTGCTCCAGCTCAGAGACACCTACCAATCACAGGCCATATCAGTCATATACCATCATAACATACACAGTTATACCAGTGTACACCACTAGTTCCACAAAAATCTGGTTGACATAGGTGGTTATTCTGTTTTTGGCCTAAAATATGGTCAAACCTGTGGTCAACCTTTCTTGACAGATAGGTCTAGATAGCAGTAAAAAATGCTTAACCACACAAAACCATATATTTATTTAAACATTATGTTACTTACTTACTACTTAGGGGGGTCTCTCACATCAAAACAAGAACAAAATATGAAGTTCGATGACATCTTGAAGTAGTGTGGGATCATGGGAGTTGTTGTCTTATTGTTAATCAAATGAAAATCTACATGACGGGACTTGGCAGAAATTGTTCACGTATGAGGTAATGTTTTAAAGTTTTATTCATGTTACTCATTTAGTTTATCGCCGATGTATCTGATGTATCCTGCGTTTACCCAGAAGTAACTGCAACTAGAGGAAAGGAGAAATACATTATTTTATTCAGGTAATGGTGAGGGAACACACCATTACCTGAATAAAGTAATGTATTTCTGTTGTTGGAAACGTGGGATAATATAGAGTACACAACTAAACAAAATATATAACATAGGTCTAGCAGTTTTTAGACATTTTAATGCGGAAAGCAGTTGGCTGGCAATACATTTGTTATCTTTCTTTACATTGACTTTTTTCTATTGATTTAATTATACATTTGATTTAATTCATTGATTTAAATGAATATTAACTAATGTAAAATATCAGATAGAAGCATATTATGCATACGAGAGCAATGGTGGTTGTTTACCAATGAAGATTCCCATGATCCCGCTCTACTTCACAGTCATCTGTAATTGAGAAAAAATGTAAAACAACTGAAACAATAAATCACCTGGTTTTGTAAAGTTTGGGTGATGGGTAGCTGAATCACATCGTTGACAATCTCTCCGTCGGGATGCACGCAGTAGACGATGATGCAGGCCATAGGAGCCCAGGTGATTTCTGGGACCAGAGCTAGAACACCAGAGCTTTTCCCTGCAGAAACCACCAGACCTCTGGACTTCACCTTCACACAGAGTAAACAGATGTTTGTTCTTAATACCTTAAGATAAATTCATAGATTGTTTTGGCCACTAGGGGGCAGACAGAATCCAAAACAAATTGACAGGATTATGACTTTATAAAGTTGTACATGACAAACTTTATTGTCATAGCATTTTAGCTCTATACCACTAAAGATTAAGTTAAAGTGCTGCAGAAGATGTGAACATGTGCAAAACAAAAACACAAAAAACTGCAAGAGTAAAAGCTTACAAACAAATAGCAGTGCAACATTGAAGATAAAATAAATGATTGATCTATAAAACAATAAAATACAAATCTAATCCAAACAATGTGAGAAATTCAAGTTTATTCTATAGTTACACTAAGTTGTTTTAAATGAAAGCCCTGACAAATTCCATAAAATGTAAATCAGTTGTTACAATGTGATACTCACTATGTAGTGAATCTCAGTCATTGGGAAATTGCTTTCAATGTGCAGCTGGAGAGGTGCACCAACCTGAAGGAAGAAAAGGTTGTGATAAAACATCAATAATTATTTTTAAAGTGTTTGTATTTAGAAGTGTAAGTACATCATGAAATAAATGTACATCCTGTTTGACCAACAGTATTTTCCATGATGCTACCAGACTGTACTCTGAAGTTCCTCATGTTCCTCATATTATATCATATTACCTTCAAAGGTCCAGGGGGTTTCTGAATCTGTAGGTAGGAGTGACTGGGGGATGTGTAGCTTCTATAGAGTTGTAGAGTATTGTGGCTCTCCTCAAAAGAAGCCTAAAAACAGACAAACAAACAATAACTAGATAAAGTTGTGGAACAGTCTTTGTTCTCTCCTTCTGCTATATAATCTTTTTGGCATCTGCAGCAGACTTAAAAGTCACAGTTTGTCTGTGGACTTTAACATGAACGCTAACATTAACATGTTTGTGTTCTAAAAACATCTTTTTCACTTCCTACCTCGGTGAGGTTCAGGTCCTCTAATAATTCAAATTTACCATCACGCTCTGACACACTCTGTCCTGAGTCCTGTTGATTACCTGGTGTTACAGTTATATGTTCTAACTTGAAGGTGCCCTGTGGAGTTTTGTTGTAGATAAACAAAACTTTTTGGTGTTACTGACTAAAACACATGAACTTTGTTCTTTTTACTGTGAATGTACTAAAGACTCAATACATTGTTAGACTGAGTCTGCAGTCAGGATAAAGGGCAAGTTTTAAGGTGATAAAAATATCATCTTACATCAATTGTGAGTGTTTCAGTTTCATTCATGAGCTGGATGTTGAGGTGAATTATTCCGTCTGCAGGAACAGGAAACTCCATATCTTCAGGCGGTATCTCTTCTGGACGGGGACGCACATTTGCCGAAGGGCCCGACATGTTTGATCGATGAGGCAACATTTGTTCCTCCCCGTCCATTTTCCAACTCCACGGACTTTGCTTTCGCTGCATCACTGACACTTGAGCAGTCCTTAGCTGATCATCTCGTGACAGTGGCTTATCGTTGTATGTAGATATTTTCAGCTGTAAAATCAAGAAAGCTATTAACAATATGCTTTTTAAATTGAATCCTTAGAAATATGAGCCAAGTGTAAAATCTATTGTGAACATTCCACAATGTGCAGTAAGAGGCTCTTGTCTTCAGATGTCCTTCGTGTAAAATCATGAATGTGAAAGTAACACTTTGACTAGTTATCATTAAAAGGTGTCATCAACAGGGTGGCAAAAAATGAATGAAAGTGTCACTCATTAGTGCACATACATCAACATTTGCATTGTGAAAACGTTGATAAATGTGCTTAGGTGAGCAAATAGCCCATTGTACCAACACAACTAAAATCATTTTACTTGTCATTTTACTCAATAAGTAAACTGTCTGTAATAAGTAAAGGAAATGGATGTAGAAGTAAACAAATTAGATTTAAATTCTACAAAAGATATATTTTCCTTACCCTGGCAGTGAAGGTCAGAGAGGGCCTTAATATTTTGGGATAGCAGTCGAAGGAAACTTTATATCTGAACTTTGCCAAAGACACCTTTGCTGTACTCTTATATGTGAGGCCTGAAAGATGAGAAGAAGTATCCACAATAAATTAAAGAACATGCAACATCAGTAATATTTTACAAATAAATAAACTCCAAATATAGAACAATTCCAGGCCTCAAAATCATCTGTTTCCTCTGGAGAGTTTCCTCTGTACTGTCCTCAGTGTCCTCGCTGACTCATATTTTGAAATACAATTGTTTATGAGTTTTGATTGTCATCTAAACATCCCTCCAAGTGAAACAATGTACTGGAATAAGACTTACATTTATCAGTACATAGTCCCATAAATAAGTGCAGGATTACCTGTGAGGTCTTCAGTCACATGAACCACAATCGTTAGAAACTCATCAAATTCGTCATAGGAAACCATTTCTAGAGCTCTTTTGCTCATCGGGTGGTGGTCGGGAACTTCAAACTGAAAATCTGCAGTGCCGTCAATCTAAACCAAAGCAACAGTGATGTCATTAAAGTTATTGAAAAAAAAAAATAATGATACATGTCCATCTCCATTTACAAGATGGCAATGTGATGTCTTCAAATTTCTTATTTTAGCTGACCAACAGCCCAAACACCCCAAATATTGTGAAGTTTATTAAATATTGTATACGTTTAAATATAATGACACACCTCACTATCTTCATCATAAGCATCTTCAATACCATGAAAATGATGCAAGAACGTTATGTTCATGTGTCCCTGAACAGGTTTGCCGTATAAGTACCTAAGGGTGAAAACACAATAATCTGAAATAATCCTTAGGTTTTATTCACAAGCAAGATTATTAATAAACAAACATGTAAATTAAAGTATTTAAACTGAAACAAAGGTCCTCACTTTGCTGTGACGGAGCCCCACAGAGTGTCCTCATGATAAATTACATCCGGAACATTTATCACCACTTCAAACTTTGGAAGCACTGCAACCACAGACACAATGAATGGATATGACAGTTCAGTGACACAAGTGCTGGAAGACGTTATTATTTCAGAGGATTTTTACATATATGACAATGATTGTGATAACACAATCATCCAGATTTCATTATATTGGTCAGAGAAAATGTACATACCGTAATGAGCCACATTAAAATGCTTCTCACTCGAAACACTCTGAAAAACAGACAAAACAATAAAACCTTTTGATTTAAAGCAACATTATGTAACTTGCCTACCTTCAAAATAAGTTTGATGCTACCCTGAGTTGTAATAAGGTGACGGGGGCCTCTGTCACTCCCACTTGTACTATTTACCCACCAACCAGTGGTTTTGGTGAAACTGGACCATATTTTATGGATAAAATGTTTTCTGGGTTTCTCTCAGCTGTCCTCCAGCTGCTCAGAGAAAGTTGGGGAATCGCAGAATTGAGGTGTGTACTTACACTTTAATCTTGTAAAAAAAAAGGAAGTGAAAGAATCCGGCAATAGGACAAGTAAATTGAACTGACACCTTGTGATGAATATTATCCTGTAGACACATTTAGTTCATCCATGTTTGTATCTAAGAAATTCTGAGATTGGTTTGTACAGTCCTTATGAAAGCCCAGTAAGGTACACTTAGAGGACTGTGTGCTATGTAACAGACTTACATCGACTGTAGTGACGATGGTCCATTCACCCAGAGGTGGGTTGTCAGACAGCTCAAACTCTTTGGACACAACCCCAAGGACGCTGTCTTCGTCCAGCCACTGTCTGAGCAGGTTTCCCCTTGGACTCTGGAGCAGGTAGAATATGGAGAAATTACATGATGCTACATAACTGAGGATAAAGCTGCAGCATTTTGTATTGTGATGTTTTGTGGGAAGAAGTGGCAGAATTAAGGGGCAGGGGCAGAAATAAGAAAAATAAATTTGTGATGCTAAGAAGGAATGTGTTATTTACTAGAGGGGCATCCAAGAGACCAGTGGATCTATCAGTGTTTTTCTTGAGCAGTACATCTAAATGGCGTATTTGGAGAGTTTAATAGTTTTTACATATACCATATACCATTGACAGTAATGGACAGAGATTCTGGGTCTGTGAAGCCAATGCAGATCTTAAACCTGCATTCTGTGTAATGACCAGCAGGGTGCAGCTCCATTGGCTGCAGTAAAAACTGATACCATGCAGTCTTATGGAGAAATGAGTAAACTTCTCAGTTGCTTTATGAGCTCAGTAAACAGTTTCCTGATGAGTTTATGGTCTAAGTCTCCAGTTTCTACCATACAGCATGATGTTCATTTAGTAAATGATGGTCCAATTTACACACTTGATGTGTACTGTATACTGACTCACTCTGATGATGATGTCCACTGGGCTCACGTAGGGTTTCCCATCGGGGTGAACGGACACTGCTCTGATCTTCACCACCTGCCCAGGCTGATAGTTCAGTTTGTCTGTCTGAATGAAGGTGGAGAGGCCTTTGAGATCGAAGCGCAGCTGTGTCGAGTTGGAGAAAACTTCAACGCTGCCCACGTGACCTTTGACCTCCAGGACGTAAGGGTGCCAGTAGCTGGAGTCACTCGCACTGATCTGCAGGGGGGGGGGGGTGACATTGGATTTTTAGAATTACAAACTAGTCTATTTAATACTGGAAATTCAAGACACCGAAAACCTGATTGACCTTTATAAAAAAATCTGTTTTTGAAGCTTCTCCAACCTGAGTTAAAAGATTCTCAGGTGTCAGTAAACTAAAGGTCGGCAGCTTTAGAGATGGGATGTGAAATAGATAAGAGGCTTCAACTTTGGATCTGCTCAACATCCGTCTGAATTTGCCTTGATCGTATCTGTTTTTGTTCACAAGCATCAGTTTACACTTCAAGGAACTCCTCCCTGCTTTAAAAACAGAAATCAGTGTTTGTTCTGGTTTCATGAAGAAAAACCACTGATAAGACAATTCAAAGTATTCAGATCCTCTACTAGAACCGGGAATAAGTGAATAAACAGCTGCTTATAGCGCAGGAGGGCCCCAAACTGTAAAATATCTTGACTCAGAACATATCTTTGGTACAGGGCTCGGGCCAAGCCTTTATGGGGCCTTGGGCAGGATTTGATTCGTATTTACTTAAAACAAGAGTAATTTGTTGTTTTACTTAAAAGAGAGTAATTTTTTAGACTGTTTGTGACAAATGGGGGCTCATCCAGGACCAGCTTTTGGGAGGTGTGTCACAATCTTTACAAAGCCAATAGTTGTTTGCTGCTATATCATGTTTTAAATCTCACATATATGACCTCAAGGCTGAGGTTTAAAGCTTAAATATGATACATGTCATACTTACAGGAGGTAACGTCAGCAGCTCAGTTGAACCTTTAAAAACAGAATTTGACAGTAATGACGTTTGATCACACAACAGGTCATTTAAATCAGAAGACAGTGTTTTGTTGATGATACACGAAAGGCTTCACCTCCTTCAACTGCAGCAGAGTTTGAGGCCACAGTCTGCTTGCCATGAACAACTTGAGCAGATACAGTGACCCGCGAGGTAGTCAGGATGGTGACTGACACTAATGTCGGGACTCCAGGACGGAGGGATCTGGGAGCCAGTAGCAGGTAGGAAGGCTGCAAGTTGGGGCTGAAAATCAAAGCAGTGAGGAACAGTTGAGAATAAAAACACAAAATAGATCTTCTGCGCTAAATACAGCTTTAACTGGGAATAGTTTCTACGGAAGAAATAATCTTATTGACAGTGTGTTCTGTGGATTATCCAGATTAGCTGCACAGTTGATTTGTCCGTAGCAGGAAACAATGGCGGCTCGCCTGGAGACTCACATAGTGTGCAGGCAATGCTGAGCAACTATGTTGTATTTTGACTCTTTATGGGATTTGTTGACAGAAATACAAAATCACAGAGACTCTTCTCTCACTGTGTCAGATTCCTATTGCAAAATGGTGTCAACGGGGAAAAACTTAATATCTCATCCTCTGAGTTTAAATTTAAATTCACAAGATAATGATAATCATATACTAATAATTTTAACCAAAATTAGGATAAAGTGGCAAACCCTCCATGAAGCTTCGACTAGTGCACAAAAGTCCACTCATTTTAAATGACAAATATGTAACTGTGCCAAACCTCTGTGAAATTACAAATCATTTATTTTGCATTTTCAATCAAATGATACATTTAAAATCACATTTAATACTATGTAAGATTACTTTAGTCCATATTCAATACCACAATCTTGTTACTTTTACGACTTAAGATTGATATTGAAGATATGTAATGATATTTTAAGGAAGCACCACAACACTGACATTAGGTGACATGTAAAAATAAACAGATACCTCCATTGTGACAGGAAAAAAACCTCAGATAGAGCTTTAAACTGTCCCGGCTCTACCTGTGAGTTTACCTGTGTGTGGTGGTCCGGGCAGTGGTGGCAACGACGAGGACAAACAGTCCCCACACCTGGAGACACTCCATTTGCATGAGTAGAGCTCACTCCCCGGGGCTTCGCTCGGTGCTGGAAGTGGGTGATCTCAGTGCCGGCTCAGTTCATACCTGCAGACAGGTGACCCCACCTCCCCTCCTCATACAGTATCACCTGATGAACTGAACCAGTGTCAGTTTGCCTGAAACCCCCCCGGGGAGGCTTCATTTAGGAGCTGAGACTGGGCGTTTCCACTCTGAGGATATCTGCGCTGCTCACACACAGTGACAACATGCAAACACCACACCGAAAAGGCCACAAACTGAATCTTTAGCCTTTTTGTATTCAAATATACTAGGCGAAAATGTTATTTATTTATTAATATTTATTTATACGACATGCATCTTCATTGCATGGTTTTTGCCCAAAAACTGCATGGGCTTTGCATGAAGTGGGCATATGAGTAAAGGGGAGACTTGTGAGTACCCATAGAACTCATTTTCACTTACATGTCTTAAGGTCAGAGGTCAAGTGATCCCTTTGAAAATGCCATTTCCATCGTCAAAATATCCCCTTCCCAACATGCTAGCATGACATGAAAGCTTTAAAACGCAGCCCGCTACAGCCTCTGAGAAGGGAGGAGATAAGCACAATGGGGTGGCCAATCAGTTGGCAATAATGTTTCTTTTGATGGTTAAAATCTTATATATAAAATATGTTGAAGAATGCAATTTATGAACAAATGTTTTTTGACCAAATCTTCATCCAAAATTTTATATTTATGAATAGATTCCTATAAAATGAACATTGTGTCTCATCAGTGAGATTTGCATGTGATCCCGATTGCTGCTGCTCAACTGAGCTGATCTTTAGCTTATTTGCACCATCTAGTGGACTGACAGTAAAACCAGCTGATCTGTGATATTTCTAGTTTCTATAAAGGAAAAGTGTGACAGTGTCTCAAGTCCCAGTGAAAATGTTATTCAGTGTACATTATCTCACCTTAGACAAGAATGAGGAAATAAAAAACTTCAGACAGGCTGGAGTCTCCCACTTATTCAACAGGTTTTGGCATGTTTTTTTGAGTCTTGGGCTCTGATGACGTGAAGGCACCCTCAGAGAGAATGACACACCAGGACTGACTTAGAACAAACAAGTAGCTTCTTCTCTCCCAGCATTTGTAAGAGGATCTGAAGTGAGTTCAGCAGGTGAGAAACCCACTAGAAAAATCACATACACAACTATGTCAACCATGTCTTGAGAGGCATCCCCTTCACTGATGGCTAGAGGTGTTTACTGCTCCATTGTGGGCCCTGATTGGGAAAGGACCTCTTTCCATTGTGACGACCCACTGAGCCCCAGGAGCCTGGTGGATAGAGGTGGGTCATCACCTGGTTACCTCAGTTCAGTATGTATAATAAACTTATCTTTAGTTACAGCTCATGTGTATTCTCCCCTTCTTTGTCCAGCCTTGAGCCGGGGTGTGACATATTTGTGACTCGTCCTGGCTTGACTTCTCAAAGTGGCAGTGAAAGTGGGTAGAGCTATATGCTTGGGATCACATCTGTGGTTTTCTGAGGAATAATTCCAGGTAATAGGTACCCCCTACCAGTAGTTGCCTAAAGAATATGGTTTTGTTTGTCTGGGCTACTCGGATGAGCCCCCAATCAAGGCTGGACAAAGAACGGGAGAACACACAACTTGCAACTAAAAATCTGTTTATTTCACATAATTAAAAGTGAAATTAAGCTAAAGACAAACAAAATCCAATATCATTGGTCATATAGGAATGAAATCAGTTAAAATCTGTACTGGAAATGCCAACCCAGTTATGCAACCTATCAAGTAAAATGGCATGTTCATTGTATCAAAGGCAGCAGTCAAATCGAGTAGAATGAGAATATAATATTCACCTTAGCCTGCCTGCATAATCAGTCATTTGATACTCTTGGTAATGCCGTCTCAGTTTGTGGCGAAAGCCAGGTTAAAAGATTTTAGATTAAGATTTTACGACCCTGGGAACAGGAATGATGGATTTTACGAATTTCGTGGGGACTGTATCACGACGACTGGAAGGACGCATATAAGCGACAGTGTTTTAAAGGATCTTCAGGGAGATTGTGTCAGATGTGTCTGATGATAAACTACTGCTGCATTGTATTTCTTTCTGTCCATCAGATTTCTTTGAACTTTGGACCCAAACACAGTGAACAGAAAGCTCAAACTGTCTCACAGCAACAGGAAGGTGACATATGTGACAGTTTCAGCCATATCCCGATCACCCGGAGATATTTCACCGCTGGGAACAGCTGCTGTTTAGAAATGGTCTGACTGGTCACTGTTACTGTGAGGTCGAGAGGAGAGGTAGAGTTTACGTAGCAGTGACTTACAGAGGAATCAACAGGAGAGGAGGCAGTGATGACTGTATGTTTGGAAGAAATGGTCAGTCCTGGTGTCTGTACAGAGGGGTATTGCACAAAAGTAGAATAAAGAAATCCAGGATAATTGAGCAAGCGTGGCTTTACCTAGCCTGCTCGGCGCATCCTGGCTTAATTGATTGCACGTTTGCTGAGCCAGGATGAAAAGGCGGCTATGTTAAGCCAGGTGTAGATAGTCGGGATAAGTGCGTGTTCACGCCATACTGAAATAGACCTCACGATCGCTCACAGAATCACCAAGAGTCGCGCTTCATATTTCATGGCCGCTGAAAAACAGCTCCTGATATGAAAGATATAAGAAAAAAAGGCAATACCAATGCCATAATTAAAGAAAGAGAGAAAGCCTGGGCTTAATGCTTAAGTAGTCCAAAACTGTACAATTAATAAACAGTGCTCCACTGGAACTGTCATAATTAGGCTACAATTAAAGGACTAAAGGAGTTACTTTAAGTCCACTAATCAACTGTTGTACACTTTGCTTTAAATGTGGCAAGTAGAGGTGCATGTTACTTAAATGTAGAGTATGATTAAGAGCAAATTTATAAAGAACAAACTTGTCTGGCCATAAAAAGACCTGGCGGCAAGTTACATTAAAAATGTTAAAAAAGTTAAATACAAGAACATTTTGCATGCTGGTAAGTGACTTTAAGTAGATAACAGAGAACAAATGAGGTGAATAGATTAGGTGTCTGCTGACATGTTGAATGTCTGTATGATTGTAGCAGTTAAAAAAAAAGCCCATAGAACTGGCACAGGGGGTGGCCCACCAAGCCAGGATATGTGCTGCAAATGGTTCCTTTATTGAGGTTCTCTGCATCCCCAACAGAATAAAGGAAGCTCCCACTTGCAAAACATCTCAATGGCCAATGGCTCTGACCTGTCCCGGAACACTCTTTCATGCCTAAATGCTCGTCTGAGGATCAGGGCTTCCTCATCCAGTAAATCCTGCAAAAATGGGCAAGCCATGATGAAGAGGGAACAGGTAAATGGTAAATAAACAGTAAGAGTAGGGAAATAATAAAAAACACTATGTACTAGATGTGCACACACACACACACACACACACACTTCATTGAAAACACCTTTGCAACTTCATCAGCTGTATTTTGTAATCTCAATTACTGCAATAAAACACACATTTATGAAACCTCTGACGGCATTTTGACAAGCAGTCTTCATTAGCATAGCAATATAACACTTGTCCTGAGTAATAATACTACCACTTGAATCAATATAAAAAGACTGTTGCAATTACAAACAGCCAACAGATTGAAATGAAATGAGAAATGACAATATATATGTAATATTTGAATGCAGGATAATTAAAATGATGCAACATACTTAGAAAGACCATGGACATGCAGTAAAACACATTAATTCCTCACAGGAGCCTGGTCTGGAGCAGGCTAGCTGCAGAGAATAAATCACCATAGTAACTTGGCTGGGTTAAGTTTGACCTGCTTTCATACAACCGACTTGAGGCTAAATTCAGCCAGGATAACCAACATATCCCGGCTTAATCCCTTATCTTGGTTCTGTGGAATACCCCTCTGCTCAGATCGTGGATATTATGTCTTTCACAATAACACAGCAACACCAATCCCTCCCTCTTCTTCTTTCGCCTCCTCCTCTGGTAGAGTAGCTGATCCACCTCCACACCTTCAACACCACATTCACTGAACCTCTTCATCCTGGTTCAGGTTGTTGTCCTGGTCATCTAGTTCCTCTGCAACTCTTTGTTCTCTGTAGGAAAGAGACTGCTTCCAGTCCTGTGATTTAAATGTTAGAGGAGGAACATTTGGCTCACTGATTGTAGCGTTAATGTCAGTAAAATGAATGGTGAAGTGACCTCTTCACGTCTGAACTTGTATACAAACTGTGTTGACTTTGATATTCACTTTAATAAAGTTTTCTTGGAGAAACATCTAGGTAAGGCATAAAGCTTCACAAGGGGTCCATTATCAGGAATTAATGGATGATGTGGATGCCAGAACTGCCAAAGAGCAAAGTTTTTTCAAGCCATTAATCTGTTCCCCTGGTAACGCCTGAGGGTCTGACTACTTCCTGGAATAATCATAACCATAAGGTGCTAATGCAATGGAATCATTGTCCCTCTGCTCATAGAGCCCTATGATTCAGCTACCAGCCAGAGAGCTAATGTAACACTAGCAAGATTCAAATAATACAGACAGTATATTTAACAACAAGATTTGCTAGCTATCAGACACGTCATTATCCTCCAATCAAAATAAAGATTTTCACAAACAAATGACAGGACATTTACTTCCTGTTGGCCACAGCCTGAAGTAGTGAGCTGAACAGCAAACAGGCTTTGGGAGGATCACTACTACTACTACTACTACTACAACAACAATAACAACAGCGTTTGTCATTGTTGGTGTGGTCTTGATTTCAACCAATGTCCTCTTTTCATCCTACATCTTTTTGCAAGTGTAAATCTACTGCTGTTTGAAAATACTATGTTAAAATTGTGTGTTAGAAAAGATCTGAACCCAACCTGTACTGTTAAATTGCAAATAAACTCTCACACACAATCTAACTAGTGGTAACACATTTATTTGCAACATTTCAGTGATAGACCCTCAGGGAAACGGTTTAAATAGGGAGTGGCTGTAAGGCTGAAATCACTCATTTCCCCACATGTCGTAAGGCATAAATACAAAACTACAGTTTCCTACAACACAACAGAAAGACAACTTTTACTGGTATTGGTATTGACTACTACATTTTTGGTATAGTAACATCCCTAGTCCATAAAGAGGTCCCTGCAGCCTCCAAGGGCCAACATCAAATTTAGCAGATTACATTTATGAATTACGTCAATGATCTGTTATTGCGACATTTTAGACGGATAGGCTTTTTCTAGGGGACAGTAAACCAGCTCCGATCCAGCTAGAACCAAATATTAGCAGGTTTTCCTTGGGAACTAAAATGGGCGTGTCATTCTAAAGCAGTGGCTCCAAACCCCTTTTCTATCATTGAGCAAGTTTTGGAAACACAGGCTGGTTCCCCATATAGCAGCAAGGGTCCAAGAGTCTTGAATGGAAACAGTACAAGAGCCAAAGCTAATTGGTGAAAAAGGGGCCTAAGTGATGGGCTTTAGTTCATGTATGAGGAAAAACAACTGAAGATTTGGAAACAACAATGTCAATAATGTAATGTCTTTGAATTTTTTGAGTTGAATATCTTTAACAAGAGCAAATGCCAACACTTTGGTTGCTACTACCTCTTTGGTTCCAAGGATATGAGACCAAAAATTTAAAAAATTTAAACCACCTCCTACTCACAGTCTTCTTCAGGGTGTATAGAAACCAAATGTGAGCTCACATTTATAGCAAGGCTGCTGCCAGCTGTCAGGCAATCAGAGCAGCGCTGGCTAATTGTCACAGGTGCAGTCAATAAAGTGACTATGAACATAATCAGCTAGACTCTCACAAGGCACTAAACGTAAAGACCATATCACCCCATCTGCACTGGCTGCCAGTAAGATTTAGAACTGATTTTAAGATCCTACTCATTACTTTTAGAGCACTGACCTTTTCTCCATTGATGAGCCAGAACACAACCTTAGACCCTCAGGAAAGAGTCCAGTCCAGGATCAAGACTAAAAGAGACTGTCTCTATTACTGTACTTTGGAACAGCCTACCTGAGGAAATTAGGCTGAATCTGTTTCATCTTTTAAATTCCTTCTAAGAACACACTTTTATAATCAGGCTTTTATGTGAATTTACGCAATATTTCCTGTGTATCCTTGTGATTTATTTATATGGGTTTTTTAATGGCCTTTTATCGGCTTTATTCGATAGTGAGAGCTGTAGATAGACAGGAAAGGGGGGCAGAGAGAGGGGATGACACGCAGCAATGGTTAACTGCTGCAGCAACTCCGTACATGGGTCTTTTTATGTTATTTTAAACCTTTAATTTACTGTATTTTGGCATATATTACTGTATATAATGTCATTAGGTTTCGGACTCTTCTCATATCAGTGTGTTTGTGCTGTGATGCTGGTTCTCCACCAGGTGGTGATGTTGTAAAGGAATGAGATGATTCTGCTTCCATCCAGGATGGAAACCAAAGCTCCACACCACTATCATCATTTAGAGTCATTCTGTTAAATGTTCACTAACATCTGCGGCGTGTGGCTGGAAATCATTTTTATTATTAATCTGATGATGACAGACATTTCCCTCAGAGGGAATTCACTTTGTCATTAAACAATCTGCTGAGCCTCAGACGTAAGCCAGACATGCACTTTCTTTTAATTAATCAAAATACTAAAACTCGAGTTTCATTATTCATCTTGTTCAATATGAATTCTTCTGCTAAATTAAATTAGATGTGTTCAGCATTTGAGTGATGGTTGTTAGAATTACTACAAAAACATACCAAGTAGATACCAAGCAACAGTTAGACAATGTCAAAATACTCTCCGCTTGTTAAAGCTCTGATTTCAAAATGTTAACAAATTAAAGTATTATCAGCAAAATGTACTTAACCCTCTAAAGACTGACCTTGCACAGTCTGTCTAAAATAAAAACTACAACAACGAGGGTGTTTGTTCTTTTTGCAGCAGAAAGCTAAGGCTTCCATCTTTGTGCTTTTAGGGTTAATTGACTTATATAACCTTTTAGTTTAGGTTGTACAGATTTTAGGGATGTTAATTATATCAACAATTGACAGTACAAGCAAAAAAACCAATGTAGGCACTGGCAGACCATTTCTACTGCAGAGTTCAAAGGGTTAAAGTATCAAAAATAATAGTACTCATGAACTCAACTTAGAATTTTCTTTTATTTATTTTGAAGTTGAAATAACTTCTCACATTACAGTGGATTATTTAATATGTAAACTTTAAAGACCTGAACACAAGCTGTTTTAGAACAATACCCAAGTATCAAGGAGAAGAATTGAATTGGTTAAAAAAAAAAAAAAAGCAGCCTATTAAGTCTGTATCATTCTTAAACATAATACAGAGGATTGTATAAGAAATTCACAGGAAATAATCTAAAAAAATGCTCAAAATCCATACAAACTGCTTGTTCTCCTTCAGTTACTGAGTTCACTATTTGGGTTCATTGTTCATTCCATCAGTTGTTCTGTATTTGTTGAACATAGTCAGGGGTTGTCAGTTTACTCAGTGATAGATAAGGGATCCCTTAAGGAACCACTGATCTAGCCTGAGACCTTGTTGCAGAAGGAAAACATCCCCGACATGCTGATGACTGATTGGTAATTTACAACCGTTTGTAGAATGTGTGACGTTCTTTCACAGTTAAACACCTGCAGCCGTGAACAGCAGGACGACAGCCAGCACGTAACACGCCTGAACGGGGACTCGACTCGCCCGTCAGTTCTTGGACTGACAAATGTGTGAGAGTGATTTAGACTTTTCTTACTTCCTTTGTCTCTCTATAGCAGTGGTTCCCAACCTTTTTCCTCAAGGGGCCCCTTTTTTAAGGATCAGCACTCAGTCTTCAGGTTTAAGTGTGAGTTAAGCAAGTTCCATTTATTGTTTTTCAAATTAAAATTAATAATACTAGAAGGGTGTTTTCATGCCGTTTTCCATTGTAGTCTCCAGCAATTTGGCTTTACTAAAGTTTTAACTCCAACTGTATCAGTAATCTGGCCCCAGCTCATAAGTGTTTAACAGTTTCAATCAAGTAGAATTTATTTAACAGAAGTGTTTGTTGTGTTTAAGTACCATTCCTGTGCTTAAAATATCAGGAAAACAAAGACAATCTGCTCAGAATTAATCAAAATCTCTGGTTTTGATGAATCACAAACTTCCTGCAGTTATTGTGTTCACTGTACAGTTTATCATTTGTTCTCGACTGTTATTGTTATATTATATACTGAATATAATATTAAATATCCATAGATTTTAGTCACTTAGGGTCCCTTAGGGAAGAAGGTTGGGAATCACTGGTCTACAGCTTTTTGTCTTGGCTTCTCTGAGAATTCTGTTCATGGCTCCAGAAAAACAGACGCAGAAAAGATCTCTGCAAGTCAGCTTGGAGTCTGGTAAACCCGACCAGAGTTGTAGTTCATCCTACCAACAGGCGAGTTCCAAACAAAATACGCTCCCAGGTTTACGTAGCCGTTCTGAGCGAAGGGTTAAAACACAATCAAACATCTTCAGGACGAAATAGATTATTTTCAGCATATTTGGTCATTTTGATCGACTTCCAGGTGAAAACTAGTCTTTAAATGTCCAGATTGTCCATGATTCGTGAGAACCCTGGATAAACATCTAGCTATTTGTGCTCAAATGTCAAATATGGTCTGAAAAATCTTCTGAGAAGTTTGAAAATTTTGGTCTGGAATTTTGAAAGAGAAAGTTTTTTGGGGAAAACAAAAGTTAGTCCAAGCTTAGCCCGAAGCTACAGAAATGGATCATATCGGCCAATAATATTCATTCATATTGGAGATACTTGGCGGTTTTAAGGTTTTCCCATCAGATCTCTTTGAACCTGGAAATTTTACCAATAAGAAACATTCTCGGTCAGTCTGGTGGAGCCAAACTCTTCATTCTGCCTGATTACCCATAGAAATATTAGATTATTGTTTGGAAATCACCACAATTAGACGTCATTCAAGGGTTGTTTTTAATGTGTTTAAGTAATTTAAAAATCTTTAATAAAATAAATATCCTGCAATAAAATAATCAACATACGTACAGATATGATGCTGCTATACATTTTTAAAAGGTTGCATTCAGAACATCCTACAAAAGCAGTTGTACAGATGGAGATTTATGTGGCTGAACATCAGGACAAAACGAAACAAAGAGTTATGTTCCACAGCTTGCAACGAACCACTGGATTTCATTATATATATATATATATATATATTAGTAATATGATGAATATTATATATCTTAAATGTTTTCTGTCAGCCAAGTCTGAGAGTTACCTGCTGCTCTCTGGGACTAAAAAGTCAGCATTATGTGTTTTTAATGATGTGATATCAACCCTCGCTGAGATGTCTCTTGCGTATGTAATCCTGTGTACGGAGATGTTTTACTGCCTTATTTTGGAACAAAACTCTTTGAATGTTTCACTTGGCACAGATAAGAAACTACTTCACTAATCTGTTTCAGCCTGAGGAGGTTTGGATAACAGCCTTTGTTAAAGTTCATCGTTTTCCACTGTTGTGTGAGCTCAGTGTAAGACAAAACAGCACGCACAAAACCGAAACACGTCGAGATTGATGGTCAGGTAAATTTTTCACTGAGTGTCTCTGAGCTTGTGGCTGCTGAAATGAGGGCTCAGAGCCTTTCAACATCCCCATCTATACCCTGCTGAAGAGATACTGACACTTTATCAGCTCACTGTGACCTCTGACTGCCCAGTGGAGCTCAATCCAACTTCATGTGACCGTTGCTGGTGTAGAACAGAAGGATAATTTCACTAAAATTGGGTGATGTTAATACAACACTTTCAATTTAAACTTTTTGAGTTCGTAGAATTATATTTAATACTTTGTGTAAAGGTCTGTTTTCCACAGATGCTATTTAGGTGTAACTTTAAAAGGAGTAGTACACTACTTTATGTGATTATTAGGAGTTAGTTCATTGAGATAATCAATGGTTTGAGAAATAGTCAACGCAGTAACATAATCTGGATGCATATCTGATCAGCACTGCCTAGTTTAACAGTTTGATCTGAGTTTGGTGCGTTGAGCTGGACGGACTCACTGAGAATGAGCTGTCAATCACAAGGTAGCCCCGTCCTAAAGCATACCCTGCTTTATGGCCTATTTTACTCTAAATGGGACCATCATTTACTAAATGAACATCATGCGGTATGGAAGAAGACTGAAACTAGAGATTGAGACCATAAACTCATCAGTAAACTGTTTACTGAGATAATAAATCAAGTCAGAAGTCGGCTAATTTCTCCATAAGACTGAATGGTATCGGTCTTTTTTTGACAAGGCTGCTTGTTTAATGTAATAATGTGAGATTATGGCTGTATTATAGAAACAGCTCATCAGTCATGTGAGTTAAATGTTTGGTACATCAGAACTTATCTGGAAAAAATGTTTCCGTCTCCCATCAGGCTTTGAGGGTAAGCCTCTTGGGAGTTGGAGTTTACACAGTGTTATCAGGGAGAGAAAAGCTCAGTATCTTCAGCGTCCTGACCTGGCCTCTTTTCCTCTGTATTTTGCCGAACCTCAATAGTGGTGGCTTGTAGTCTTTAGTCCTCTTAGCGAGGCTAGCTATGGATTCAAAAACCAAAACAAAGAAGAGTGTCAGAGGAATTTAATATTGTGTGGACACATTTGTTTGCTTTTACCACCAATGCAGCTGGCTTACTGCTATGCTTGATCTGCAGTGAGAAATTAGCATTATAAGGCTCATGTGTTTTACACCTCCGACAGAATTGTTTTTGACCAAAAATAGCACATTTGATAGTAAAGGTTGCTGACCTCTGCATAATATAGATGCTACTGTTTTTATTGAACCTCTTTCACAGCAGACATTCTGACTTGTCATACAAGGAAAAGCAGAGGAGTTACCAATAAAATGAACAATGGCTCCGTTCCATTCAAATGTCCTAGTAAGGCCTGAGCCAGAACGCACAATACCTACAGCTGAAGCAGCTAAATGGAATTTAGCTATCCTAAATTTGATTATTTATATCTATAGAGAGTTTAACTTGAAAGGACAGACTTTATGTGATCAGATGAATCAAATCTTTTTGCCTCAAGAAACTACAGATTTTTCATAACAAAAAGTGAGAGGGCACTGAGAGAGTTGTGGCTTTATGACGGGTATAAAGGGTCTGTATAACCTGCAGACTGCTTATATGGTCGCAGGTGATCAGCGGTTCCTGCCAAAGTTCAAGTCGCCACCCGGCCTCTCCCCGCCTCTAATGGCAGACTGACTACTACTGAGCAGGTGACACTTAATGCAGTACTGCAGAGAGGTCTGTGTATTTAAATGGTTATATTCCGTATGAGGAAGATTACACCACTGTGAGTATACTTCAGTGGACAGTAAATAAATATTTTTGTGTTCCATGTTGGAGGAATAAGTAAAAGTATCGATAAAGCTTAAATAAAAGACTGACAACAACTCCGCTGGAAACTCGTGGCGAGGTTATTGAGCTGTTGTTGCATTCTTTTGACACTTTTTCTTCATAAACTGAGACGTATTATTAGAGATAGATATATTATTATTCACATTCAGACAAAGGTTTTATAAAGCTGTGACAATAGAACGACTGACCGACAGCTGCAGGAACACTCTTGTTAGGTGAAAACCTCAGAACTCCTGTTCAAATGTGACCACACTGTTTTCTATGGCTACTGCATGCTCAGCCTCGTTGTTTCAGGACGCCGTAAAGCTTGCAGAGACACGAAACCTGCCGGAGATGCAGGATCCATTCCAGTGATTGCTTTGCAGTGCTTTAAAAATGTCTGTCTGTGCACGGTGACGAGCAGGAAGGATTTCAGAGCAACCTTTCCTTGCAAGAACCCGCTTGTATCACATAATACTTATACACAATGTTCGTAACAGCTTATTCTTCGTCAAAACGACAAATCTATAAGACGACAAAAATACATCTGGGATTTAGAGAATATTCTAAAGAGAAAGATTTACTCTTGAGAAAAAAGTTGTAATATCTAAAGAATAAAGTTTAGAATATTTAAGAAAAAGGCAAGTAGAGTCCCACCGGTAAAAATTTGATGACAGATTACCGTTATCGTGCCCGATATAGTGACAGTAAGACATTTTTCTATGTGGATTGTGCATTGACCTTTTTATAAAACTATAACTTTGTTCTCATATTACGACTTTTTACTCAAAATAACTGTATTCTCCAGCTCTCCAGCACTCGTCTAAACGATGCTAACAAAGCTTTCTGACAGCCCTCTCTCAAACATTATAGAAATGACTGAAAGTGTCCATGCAAACACTCTGAATGTGAACGCTCCTCTGTGTGATCTATATTTTTCCGGTCTTGGACAATGTGCGGCTGCTAAAAACAAGGTTTGTTGTGGAGATGTGAGGTTTTCAGCCAACAACGACAGAGCTGAGTGACACTTTACAGGAAGAATTTACAATTGAAATACCAAAACGTTGTTAATTTCAGGGCCTTTCTCCCCGAGGCTGTGGTCTTCCGTTCGCAGCCTCAAGTGAAATGTTTTTTTCCCGTCCCTCAGTGCTACAAATGAACTGAGATCATCCGGTAACTGAACAGGTCACAGGTTCAAACTCCCTCCCTGCGTGTCATCAGCCAAATGTTGGAAAGACGAGCCGATTGGTAGTCAGCGCTCCTATCCTTAATACTTCACCATCATTACATTAACATCACAAACACACTGTACACGTCCAAACTGTCATCAGGGTAGAAAGACGAACTAAAGGGTCCATTTGTGTTATTTCTTCCGTTACTGCTGCTCCTCCTCGCTCTCAGGTCTGGGGTTTCAGTGCGTGTCGGCTCCTTTTTTCCCAGAGTGCGCCTCTGTATCTCTTCAAACGTTTGTCGGCCTTCCTCTTCACCATAGCGTTGTCCACTCTGAGGACAAAAAAATGGGATGAGAACAGTCAGAGTGTATTTCATCAGTCTGAGAATATGATGGTAATTTATGTGTGTGTCCTCACTCGGTTTGCGTCCAGACGGAGCAGAAGCTCAAACACTCGGCATCCTGAGTGTCTGCACAGAGGCAGCGGCCGAGGTCCCTCCTGAGGCGGATCGAACCAAATCCATAAGGAACCACATGGCTGGAAGACAGAATAAGTATTTGTTGAATTTACTGTGTGATGTTCAAAGCCCTCCTGAAACTATTCTGTGATTTACCCTTTCATGTCAGTGGCTTGCAACCCAAAAGTAATTTAGTGGACCTGTCGTCATGCATTAAATAAATGCATGTTTGCAAGATAAAACTTATTAATGACTGATTTAGATAAACCTTTGAAGTTGCAAACGTTATGTTGACATAAATTACATAGAAAAACTAGTTGGAATGAGTTCATTTTTATGAGTAGCCTAATCAACTTAAAAACTTGTGTTTCTGCTACCAATCATTAAGTAAGTGGTTATTAAAACTACCTTTGATTGTAGAGGAGAAAGCAGCATCAGGGTTTGGGAACGTGTTGACTTGAGTTCACAAATGTTAAAGGAATAGTTTGACATTCTTTGAGGTATAGTTTTTATTTGACTACCGTGTAGCTGCAGTGAATCAGTCTTCTACTAATCCATCTGGTGCCAGTGTGACCGGGCTTCAGCCGGCTCTCAGCTGGCTGCAGGTTTGAGGGGGATCCACCGCTGGATTAGTAGTGGGGTTAACTAAACCACAGGGACAACTACCAGCATTACCTTAAAGTCAAAACAAGGATATACCTTAAAATATATATTTTTTAAATGCATCACTTGTGTCGCATATTTGACCTTGACAGGCAGTTGGACTGAATTTAGATTGGACAAATCATTTGAGACTGATCACACTGTTGAAAACCGTTGTGTCTTTTTTTTATCAAACAGTAAAACATCTGGATCCCATTTCCACTTTGCGGCCGGTGATAAAATGTGACCCTTTCATCTCCCAGCCTTCCTCTGCTCTCCATCGTCCTCCATCAACACTCGGCTTCTGTCTGCTCAATTCCACAACATCATTTATTTTGCTTTCTTCCCTTTGTTAACTTTTTTTTTTTTTTACAACTGTGTTGGCTTCACTTCCACTTCTAAGTCTTCACTTATTTGTCAAAGGGTCAGTGAGCGCCTCCCTTTTAGTTGCTGCACCAAAATCCTGTTGGACTCTTATTCTACTATACTTGTCTCTATTTAAAACTGTTTTATGTGCAGTTTTATTGGCGGACAACAACATAGATATTGGACGATACTGGAAAACCCTGGACTACGATTACGACCAAGTATTTTAATGTTCAATGCTAATGTTTCTTTTAATTCTTAAAGCTTATACCTGAGATTTAAAACATTAATATTGTAGCAAATATTTGCAATATAAAGATAAAGTGGAGTCTTTACCATAAAAGCAAAGCTATGAGCTAAAAGAGGCTAAAAGGCTCTGTAGAGCTGCTGCGTTGGTGTTGATTCACAGTGGGTTTAGCACTAGTTGTTGTTATCACAGCCTCTCTGTGGTTTGTTTGCTGTTTTTATTATCTATGTCAGTGAATTAAGGATTTATTGTTTGCAAACAGTTTTGGAAATTGTATTTTGTTTCTGTCCACTTTGAATAAAGTTATCACATCATGATTGTTTTGCTATTCGACAGCTGAAGTCTCAAGTCTCATGAAATATATGACAGTAATCTTAATACATCCGATCACAGTATTGTGACTAGGCTCAAAAACGCCATTGTGATGGTGCAAACATACTGGTTTGTACTGTAGAATTCAGTCAGTAGGGTTTACAGCAATGTTTGTTGAAGGTTGTTCAACCCTGCTAAGGACATAAAATGATAATTTTTTTGTTGTGTGGCTGGAAGTTGCTTTGGATAAATCTGTCCACCAAATGGCAGATGTTATGTAAACTGTGTTTGTTTGAGTTCACCAAAGGTGACTTTTATCCCGGAGGAGGCTCACTGTTGTCCATTAGCCTGTCTTTAGTTTGGATCGTGGCCTTTTTGGATGGCTGGAGGATCCTGACTGATTTCAGTGTTTATTTTTACACTTGTGAGGATGAAAATCTGCAAAAACAAATCTAATCAACACAAATCTGTGTGAAAATCGGATTTTTAAAAATAACATTTATACTGAAAGAGTACGTTTAACTGACATCCCTTAAAGATAAGTTGGGTGTTAGTCTATATTTTTGTTGTCGGTTTGGCTGCACAGGGGATTTGTTAACGGGAAGAAAAATCACTAGACTACGTCAAGGACATGTAAACTAGTTCACACATTTGAAGAAAATTGTGTTTCAGCAGGATGTGCTGCAGGAGAGCTCGCTGTCGCCCACAGGGTTTAGTGGTGTAGTTAGTGATGGTGGGAACTGCCAGTGCTGTTTAAAAAAGTCTTTATGATGAAGGCAGGAAGATTGCATTTTACCACACTTCTATGTTTAGACTAAACTAACAATCTGAGACTTAGTGAGAGGGTCCCACCACAGCAGGAGCTGTTTTTGGCTCATATCTGGAAGCTATTTTGGTGAGACCTCTCCTTTACTCCCTCTCAAGTTAATTAATTTCAAATGCCACTCATTGGCTTGGCATGGAATAAACAGTATACAGTTTATCGTCAAACAACACAGCGTATGTTTTGTGAAACAAAAGTTGATTAAATTGGTTTAAAGGGCTGATATTTTGGATAGAAAATTGAGGGGAAAAATTCCAATTTGAGGCCTAAATAAGTCAACCTTGTTATTATTGATGGTTATGTGTTCACCACTACATGGTAAATATAATATAAACAACTAAAACAATCCACAGGCCTTCAGTAAAGTCACTGATGGCAGAAATCATCATGAATCATGTGAACTCGGAGACATGGCAGCAGTCTGTGAGAAGTTAAGTGGTTTTGGGCAGATCAGGGTCCGACCACAGTGATTTCAGACTCTTTGCGGTGTCCTCAGTGGCTTCGTGTTAAAGGGGTTAAAACGGGCTATTTAGAAAAAGCAAGAGGAAACGTGGCAGAAATTACCCTTCGTTAGGAAAGGTGCTCTTTCTTATTAGCTCCACCACATCTAACTGCTCACTCATTGCTTGTGCACACTGAACTAAAATGAAGTTAATTGTTACCAATTGTGAAGTGAGCCTGGTTTCCGATTTGATGGCAGGCAATTTAAGAAGATAAACAAGGAATGAGAAAAATCAAGTTTCTGTGCTGATTTAATAATGCTGAGATGATTTTATTTCTATTTCTATGTTTACTGTAACAAAGCAATAAGACTAAGACTGAATGATATCGGTGTGCTGGTTTTTTTTCCAGCCAATGGAGCTCCCCCTGCTGGTCATTACATAGAATGCAGGTTTAAGACACTTCCGCATTGGCTTCACTTTTCAGACCTGGAAGCTCTGTCTGTTATATATGGACAGGACTCTGCAGAAATCATATTCCGTCCTCACTCTCTGGTGATATTCAATAAGATGTAGGCTCTACTGGATGATTTTGCTTCCTTGGTGACTTCTCATGTTTTTCCCAAATGATGAACAGAATTATCTGTAATGGCTCGAAAAACAGTGCATATATCTGCTGTCAATTCAAAAAAGAAATCTCCCCAGGAGAGAATGCCCCCTGGACCTCTCTAGGTCTGGGCTAGGCACTGAATGTTTACAACGTCTTGCTCCATCCCAGAATACCACTAAATCCTACACACTGGCCCTTTAAGCATTATCAGTTGACCAAAAGAGTCTTTAAAAGTCATCATTTGTAATCTAAACACAGGCATGAACTATTCAAGCTTCAAATCGAGTGACTGTTTAAGACGTAGATGAACAAAAAACACCTAAACCAAAAAGCTTTCATTAGCGCTGCCAAAGAGCTTGTGTTTTTTTTTTTTTTTTTTTTTTGGCACGTTTGTCTGTCCTCAGGATTTCAGAAAAACTACTGGCTCAATTTCCATTAACTTGGAAGGCTGTAGCATGGGCCAAGAAAGAACCTGTAAAGTTTTGGAGCGGATCCGAATCCCAGGGCAGATACAGTAACTGTTTCTCCTGTCATTAACATTGTGAGATAGGTCAATTGTAGGTTTATTGGTTAAATTGTTTGTTTTTTCTATCTGTAAGTCAAACTTTTTCAATCATGTGTTTGCATATATCTGTAATTTGGATGATATGAATTGTGTTTTTAATACTGATGGTTGATTGTACTTGCAGCCCTGAGCCAGTAAAAAAAGTGAAAGCTTATGTTCTAGCATCCCATCCTCCCCCAGGAACCTCCCGATTACTGCTGCAGAAGAACCCTCGGAGACAGATTGCTGATGCCTCTTAACTTCCGTTTGTTTAATCTTCACATTATAAAACTGTAACATTGATTGCGATGCGGCGGCGCTCCGTTACTGTGAAAACAAACTCTGCCTTGTCTTGCAGACTCACCTCGGGGTGTTGACCCAGACGATGCCAATGTGACAGAAAAAAATACACTCCTTGTCTTTCTGGTTCTCACAGGAGCAGCGTTTCTCCCGCCGGTGGGCTGTGTGGGTGAGCTGCGCCAGGAGGCCCTCCTCCGCCGTGGGGCTCGTAACAGACGCGGTAGAGGCTGAAAAGCAACAGGAAGTTAGTTATCTTTATTGTTTTGTCTATTGGTTATATTTCCGTTGCTTTGTCACAATCGTTACATTTACCTTTCCAGACAAATTGAAAGATGTCAAGTCTCTTCATTTTCTTAAAATTAGTTTAGAACAGTCCCTGCTTGGTTCTCATAAAGAACGTGATGAACTTTAAGTTAAAGTGAACCTGTTGTGTTCATTTACATATAATCATATTCAGTCCAACTCAATTTTATTTGTATCGTGCCAAACTGTAACAGAAGTTAACTCAGGCCCTTTTCAACTGCATATATAACATATAACATGTTTTCATCCTAAATTGTCGCACGTTTAAAAACAGGTTCGATTTCCTGTTCTGCACCAGTGAAAACAAATAGTGGACGAGGACAACAGAGATAGAGGGGGGACAGATCAGCTTCTGGTAGCCGCAGTGCCAGATGCAAGATGCAGGCAGAGAGTGACGACAGCCTGCAGAGGAACCTCCAGTTGAAAGAAGTAATGGAAGAAACGAGAGAGGAGGCTTGAGAGACAACAGGTGCAGACAGCTCCCTTATCAGCAGGTGAGACTCTCCTTGCTCTTGACACCGTGCAATTAATAAATTAATAAAGCCCATTGGACTCTTAGTGTGCAAGGTTTCTATGCATAACGATTTTAATCAGATGATGGATTTGCAAAGGCCTTTATTCTGAGACTCCACCAGCATTTGCATGATTCACTCTTCAGAAAACATCCCTATTTATCTGATACTGACCCTTCAGGCAGCCTCAGTACATCCTCTGTCTGAAATAAGCTATATTTTTAAGCTTGGCTCTCCCTAAAAGTCCACTTTCTTCTGAGGAGTAAACTTTGCGTTAGCCTGCAGAGAGCTCATTGCCATTAACACCGTCGTCCTCTAGCCAACCCCACAGCTTCAGTAAAGCTTGGACTATAGTGATATGGGGCTCTGATGAATTTACTGTTAATCAGACCAGATATGAGACAAGATTTAGGTTGTGAAAATGAGCCAGATTTTTATAACTTTATTCAGGAATTTTGGAGAAATCGGATCATATTTAAAAATATTTTCTGGTCCTCCGGCTGCTCTGCTCCAACTTTCAGTTTCCTGTTGTAAATATAGCCTTAGCTACTTATGAAGAAAGTCAATAATATCGTTATCTGTGTACGGTGGAGCAGCAAAAATTTTAGTTACTAATTAATACTGGAGTTCCTCAAACGGCCACTTGAGGCTGGCTCCAGAAATGAGTCCATAAGGCCCCATATTAAACTTGGTTACATTGCACTTTTTTTTCTTTGCCATTATTAGAGCTGCAACAACTGATCAGTCAAATTATTTGATTTAAGTAATTGTTAGAGAAACTCTTTTATTTCAGCATCTCCAACATGAATATTTTTTGGTTTCTTTAGTCCTTTATGACTAGTTGTGGATAAAATGACATCTGAGGACGTCAAAGCTCAACTGACTTTCCATCATTTTAATACATTTTATAGACCAAACAACTAATTGATTAATCAATAGTGAATATAATCCGAACTTCTCACTGACAGGTGTACTGAGGGTTGGAGCAGGCACACATACACTGGTACATTTTTTGAAGATGATTAAAAGAGAATCAGGCATACACACAGTTTCGTGTGTCCGTCCCTTCAGTGTGTGTGACCCGTCTTTTCTTTTGTTTTTGAGTTTTGACCATGTGGCCGGGACCTCACAGGCGCTGGAACAACTCACTGCCTCTTCCCACTTTACTGCACAACAACCACAGCGTGAGCAGAAATATTCTGTAACTCTACACCTGAATGTACTCGCGTACACCCAGTGCACACACGTACATATTAAAATAAAGCACACATACACACACACACACACACACACTCATAAAGCCCACAGAGCCCACAGACAGCCTTTGATCCTGCTCTCAGTGCACACAGGGGAATGTTTGGGCGTCTAAAGAAGGATTTACACGATTTACACATAGGCACAAAATAACACCTCTTTTCACCATAAATGGTATAGGTCTGTTCTTTATATTGCCGTGTCCCAGAGAATCAAATACTTGAGGTTGTTATTCATGTAAAGTTTCCAAAGAAGCTGTTATTTGTCCAAGACACTCGGGTCCAAGCTTTCCCCCTGATCTGACATCAGTGGAACAAGAATCCCAGGACACTATAAACCGAACGTGGACACCATTAGTGTTTTTGTTTCCAACAGTGTTAAAAGTGCAACTGCTGTGATTGCTTAATCACCAACTTCCAAAGCAATCAAAGGTACAGAAGCCAAGAGTCTGAGATTGTAGCACTCTGCAGCACATGGAGCAAACACATGTCCTAAAAGTCAAAAAAGTGTCCGAAAAATAAATGGTAAAAAATCAAACAAGGAATAAAAAGTGTTTCTCAAGGCCCACATACGATCTTTCAGCTGGATTTCATCAGTTTGCTCATCGTGTCACAGAATCTCATGATAACGCGTAGTCCAACAAACTGCCATGGTGACGACTATAAGATCAAACTCGAGGTTTCAAAGCGGTTCTCCACAAACCAATGGGTGACGTCAGCTGGTAAAAAATGGCAGAATTTCCGACAGAGGAAAGAGATCACCTCATCAAGTAACTCATTCTCAATATCATATTTTAGGATGCTACGAATTATATCCAGCTACAAAAAATCTGATTTTCAGGGTTGTTTTTTAAATCAGGAATTGATTATTGAAAATCCATTTCTTAAATGTAGTTTTCACATTAGCTGTGTTTGCATAAATTACCCTGAAAATGTAGCTATTATATACAGACTGACATGCAAAAATCTTCACAATCACCAAAAAGTACCACTAAATTAAAAATGGCTGACTTCCTGTTGGGTTTGGGGTCCAAGAAGCTTTTTTGTTCATATCATTATAATACACCTGCGGACCGATTTCCATACATATCTGTAAAAAGTGCCTTAGGAGCTGAGATATTAGGGCATGGTCGCTGCTCGGGCCCCAATTTTGAGCTGATTACGTTAGAAATACAGGTGAAAGAACCTGACGGCTCTGGCTGTCTCTGTTGGTCACGTGACACCTTACAGCAGTTTCCCATGAGTCTCCCTACCGGGAAGAGGTGGGGGACAAGAATGCTGCACAAGGAATTATATGCTGGTGTTTTCGTTATAAACAAAAATTAAGAAGGTAAGTTAAAGAAAAATATCAAATGGCGTCACGGTGGTTCAAGAAAGTTCACGGTGAGACACAATATCCCTAGAACGAAATACTAAACTACTGCCTAGCTTAAAAGTCACTGATAATTACCAGCTTGAGGCTTGACCCTGACTTCCTGTGGGGTCAGTCGCCGTACTGTTTGGAATACGACAATGAGGGCTCATGAAGGGATTTGTTTTCTTTCTGTTTTCTTGATTTGGGTCTGTTAAAGCTTAAATGTTATAAAAAGCAGAAGCACAATTGTTATAATAAAAATATTAATACAACATTTGGGCTTAGGGAACTTAGGGAACCCAGATTGGATGCAAGTTTGAAAAGTGAACTCTATCTGGAGTTTGTCTTGCAACACGAAAGCAAACACAACCCTGCAAACGGGTTTGCATGGTCACTTTCTGCGCTGCCAAGCCAAACTCGGCAGAACTGAGGTGTTTTGTTCTGACACAGGAGAGATTCTGTTGGGTTTTAATCCATTTGGCATTGGGATGTCGCACCATTCATCCACGGTCATAACATACCCTCCAACAAACACACCCTTATGCAATATCCTTGTGGGAGCCAGCTGGTAGAGCAGAGAACTGGCATACAAGGTTTAGACAAGCAGGTTGGAGCCACAGGTTGCCGGTTAGAATCCCCAGACTGAGGGGAAATGAGTGAGTGATGCTCTCATTGGTTTGGAGTGCTATCCCACTGTGGTAAATGGATGGAGCCAAACATCCAGCAAGTGCAACAACACGAGACACAGCAAGCAGCTAATATTACAGACTGGTCCAACAGCAAGAAGGCCAGCTTTCTGTCTGTCTGCAGTCTTTTATTTCACCAAGCTCTCTTTAGCCAACCTCTAAAAGTCAGTCAGAAATTTACTATTTTCTGGCAGCTTCTCTTCTTTTCTCTACTTAGCCTTCCTCCATCAACGTCCTGTTCAGTCTCTCGTTAACTGCGTCCATAGAAGCTGCTGAGCCCGGTTCCGGTTCTGGCACGACGCCGCTCCACGTCAGCATTGAAACAAGAAAACTAAAATTGGGAAGCAAGCCGTTTCCCGTTTTGAAAATAAAAAATAAACGGGAAAAAAAATCCTGTTTTTGTTTTTTTATTTGAAAATAAGAACATACTTATAAATGTCCTCCATACGTGGTAGTTGGGAAACAGCTTGATTCTTTATTTTGGTTATCTTATTTCAAAACAAAATTCCATTGGCCACAAAGTACACTGACCCCTCACCCTGCAGCCCAAAGCTCCGGTGCTGCCAGTGGAAACACCAACACTCCCCTGGTGCTCTGAGCCCCCAGTCCTGGGCAATCCCGGGCAGTACGGCTAAGCTGACTAGCTAACAGTAGCTACATTTGGCAACAGTTACTTTACTGTCCATCAGGAAACTGTAAATCAGAGAGTTGAGGTGGAGCATCAGAGGGAACTGTTGGGTCTCTGTAAATAATGTTATAAGGAGTTCGGTCTAGACCTGCTCTATTTGAAAAGTGTCCTGAGATAACTTCTGTAATGAATTGGCGCTTTACAAATAAAACTGAATTAAATTGAAAACTAGAAAACATTTTGTCCATAAAATCTGATCCAGTTTTACCAAAATCCCTGCTATAGTTGGTAGTGTGTGACTTAATGCTGTAAAGCGTTACGCACTTGTAACCAAAAGTTACATCATGCATGAACAGGCGTACAAAGGCGCCATTCACCCTGTACGATCAAAATGGTAGTGAAGCTGTTATTTTAGGGTAGAGAAGGTACATAATGGGGCTTATAGTTAAGTTATAGTTCCCCTTTTATGCTCAAAAATGTGTATACAAAAA